GAATCTCTGGAATTTGACCCAGTGTCTTCCATACATTTGCAATAGTCTGTGGAGTCCTAAGCACTCTGGACCTCTCAGTCCACCCACATGGAAGGTGAACAAGACCGCTGATGCATAATTACCATGTCAAATAATAACACTCTTTCAGCAGGTATCCTCTAACCCTCCAAACAGGCTGATTTTCCTATTAGAATGGGATGATTTGCCTTGATAAATGAGACATAAAGTAAGTCTGGATTGTCAAGTTCTGGGTTTTAACAATTTAAAATACATCAAAAAGGAAGCAAGTGAAAATATTTGGGGGGAAAAAAAGCGAAATACAGACTAGAATTGGCATCCATGTGCTTTCTTCCTCATGACTAGATATATCAGTGCTATTTTGGGAAAGGAATAAGTATGTCAAGCTCATGAAAGATTCCTATAGGTCCAAAGATCTTTAAATTTCTAGTCATTGCATTTAGTATCTTTTAAGATATTCTAGGTATTTGACAGACCTTATTTTTCTTACTCATATCTTTGTAGAAAAAGGCCACATATTAATTTTATCTGTATATGGACAGAGCTCTGATAGATTACATATTTCAAATCCAAGATTACATAAACCAAGGCCAATTACCAAAGGAAACAAACAGATGAAAACGTCTTCTAGATCATAATACTATAGGATCCAATTTAGTTTTTGACTCATGGCAGAAAAATCACATAATCCACCCAAGTAAACTGCTACACAAACTGGAAAAAAAAGTCTATTTGACTTTGATGAGTAATGTAATGCTATTATTAATTACAGCATTTTTATCATGTGCTAGGAGAACTTAGAAAAATAAACTTTCAGAAATACCTTTTAAAGTTGAAAGAAATGTTTTTGATGATCAGAGTAAGGCAGATTACAAAAAAGACTTAGGGATAAGTTTTGATCCAAAGTACAAGGAAGAGGGAAAAAAAGAGAGAAATTCTGTGCCTTAGCAGTCACAGAATCAACTGATCACTTTCTACCAACTGGACAGGTGTGCACTGTGGCTTCTTTGTATATTAGTCTAATGTTAAACAGCAGCTGTTTGGGTGGATGTGAGCTCTCCTACTTAGGGTGTCTGAACTGTTGTTCTCTTTTTTTAAGCCAGTTATGCTCATATGAATTTGATTTGGTTGAATGAAGCTCCCCCACCCTGACACTATGAAGAAGCATAATATATAATCTGCTTAGCAAAAGCAAGATCCAGGAAAAAGAAACTCATCTTACTATAAAATAGGTTACATTTCATCCTATTAGTTGATTCTATATGTCTATCTTTTCTGGCAGGCTCCAAGAGCCTTTTTCTGAAACATGAGGAACATTCTGACATGCTATCCCATAGTCAGTGGGAATTTATAAAATTCAGACATATATCCATCACACACTCAGGAATTGGGTGACTCTTGCTTCTAGATAGATAGTTTGTTGTCTATCTTTAGCTGTTTTAGCACTCTTCCTAAGTAAAGCAGGGAAAAGGCAAATAATTGGAAATCTATGGTGTTCTTTGGCAGCAGAGTTGGTAATGGACTTGGTGGAGGAGGCATGTTCAAAGAAATGAGTAGACTTGATATGAGTGACTGCTCAGATGTGTGGACCCACAGCCACAGATGATGGCAGTGACACCCTTATGAGTAGTGTCATGAGGAAATGGTCCTACTTTCACAACGACAGATAACTACTGTAGTCAGGGCACGTAAGGAAGAAAGAGAGAAGGGGCTGGAATAAGGGCACTCACAGAATACTTGGCAGCCAAGATGTGTTGTTTTCTCTCTGTCAACAAGGTTAAAACAAAAAGCATCCTTCATACTGAACACCAGAAGATAAGAAAATGTGCAGCTGCCTACTGTGGACTACTGATAACATAAGATAGTATCACTAAGCTATGATTAGGACTGACAGAGATGTCTCATTTCTGCCTAAGGGTAAAGCAATTTTACCAACTATCTGTTAGTCATAGTTTTGGCTTCCCTTCCCCTCTTTCCCTGCACAGACAACTCTCAGGGATAAAGGAGATCATTACTAGGGAGGGTACTTAAAATCTGGAGGGAGAACTCTATAGGACAAAGAAAGTGAGTCTGGGCTCATAAAGGGCCTTACAACAGAGAAGCTGAAGCAGAACAAAAGCAAGGACAAGCAATGAAGAGACCGAATTTCAAGAGGAGGAGGAATAAAAGGGGAGCCAAGTGAGAGCCACAAAGCAGAAGCATGGTTAACCAGCAGGCCACCGCTTTTCTACAGCCATGTGGAGGGTCTGGTTTAGCAACTTCACTGGAAAGCTCTGATTTATTACCAAGTCCTAGGTGGAGGGACAGAGGGACACCCACTGTTACAACATGAGCAATGTGCTAGGACTCAGTGTCACATTCAGCAAGACTGGACAGTCTATTCATCAAAAGGCTATGGATAGGCATGACCTTATAAAGATTTAAGTGTTGAAAGGAGTCCATTAGGAAGCAGAAGAAAGAGTCTGGCTAAGCAAAAAAATAAAAATAAAAAAATAAAAAAGCAAAAACAAGCAAACAAAAAAAAAAGTGTATACAGGAGAAGGGTATCTGAATGCCTGTGTGGTTGGAGGGGAAATCTATCTCTTCTAAATTTATAGTTTTTTCACCAGTTTTTTCCTCTTGTGGCCTATATATTATAGGGATCCACTTGGCTTTGTCATTTTAACATGACTGTTTAAAATCTCTAGCTCTTTGGCCTAGAAGAAACTATGTTTCCTAAGACTGAGCAAATTCTCAGGAATGTACACTCTCATGGTTTCTCAGACTCTGGCCTCCTACAAGTGTCTTCTCTGTCCTGCTTGAAGTAATTCCCTCTTCACCAGTTTTCTTCAGTAGAATACATAAATATAATACTCCCATAGAGTTTTGTAATCTGAGTCTTTGTGGTTATATCTATAGATAGATTCACTCACTTCCTTTCTCTCCTTTCATTTTCTCCTCCTCAACCCTGTCTTGAATGTGCTTCTAAACTTCTACTTTAGAAGAATTAGGTGCTTTCCCTGCCATTCAAGCTTCAGCACTGGCTGACTGCCAAGCCTGGGCCATATTCTACTCTCAGAGCACACCCAAATATTTTTCTCCCTGAAACTAAATCTCTCCTTCAGAAAACTGACACTAGCTCTTAAAACTCTTAATGTTTTCTTTACTTCCTCATGTGACTTTGCTGGGTAAATAAAACAAAGACTGACCCAATGCAAGGCTAACATATGTCTTGCGTTGACATAAAATAACTAGTAGACTCCATATAACAGTGATCATAACTACATTTAATTGCTAAGAAGACCATTCCTACATCAAGATCAATCAGTTCCAGAAAAGGATCATGGACTGTGGCTGGACAAGGTAGTAGTAGGAAGGAAGCATGGCTCCCACCTATAATCTTAGCTACTCAGTAGGCTGAGAACAAAAGAATCATAATACAAGGCCCCAAAACTCCATCTCTAAAATAAAAGCAGGATGAAAGGCATGTCTCAAGTGGCAGATCACCAGCTAAATAAGCAAAGCTAAGTAAATGTGAGGCCCTCAGTTCTAACCCTGGTACTGACAAAAAAAAAAGTTCAATCTTTCTTTAAAATCTTAATTATCGGGTGAGATGGCTCGTTCTATAGTCCCAGCTATAGCTACCCAGAGGTGAATGTCATAGTTCCAAGACAGCTCAGGACAAAAAGTCAGCAATCCTCATCTGAAAAACCAAACCACAGGGGTGATGGAATGCTCTGGACAAAAATGAGACCGTATTTGAAAAGAATCACAAAGTAAAAAGGACTTAAAAACATGGTTCAAGGGGATAGAGTACCCACCTATTATAAGGCCCTGAAGTAAAGCCACAGTACTGCTAAAAACAAACCAAAAAATCCTCACATTAATCATGATATAGTCAGGGTCAACTTGTCTGTCCCTTTCCTAAGAGTTATATACTATGTGGTCAGACAATAGTGCAGGATTCTTCTGAACACCACAATTAACAAAAGAAGAAAATTCTGAAGCACTGCTTCCACCAAGCCTTCCAGAAAACTCTCACCTAAAATTCTGGGTTCCTTTCTTATATTTAAATGAAGTTTTGTTTGCTGTTACAACTGAAAAGCTTTTCCCCATGTGGCAACACCTAGTTTTAAAAACAAAAACAAACTCTTCCTCCATCTCAAACCACAAAAAATACACAGCCCCATGGCTATGATCACAAAGCTGGTCTTCCTTAGGAAATTTTCATGGGTTTAGTCTCTAATGTTTGTTTCAACAGGATCTGGCTTAGTAGATTCTTTGCCCTCTCTAACCAATAGATCTCTGTGAGGCCATAGTATTTCCAGGCATTTAAGGGTCTATTTCCCCCCCATAATGCCACTCTGCCGAAATAGAAAGTTCTATGCACATGGGAATATAAACATATACAAATAAACGCACACATAGAAGGTAGCTCACAAACAGACCTCACCCTGCAGGATTAACAACTGTCAATTGCTACTGTTGAAAAGGAAGCTGAATGCAATCAAGTGAATAAACATAGCCTAAATAGAGTTTTAGGCTATGTTTGATTAGAAAATGTGAGGATAAGGTTAACTTGAGAAGGATTAAATCTAGAGGTAGCAGTAAGATCTTTCTGAGCCAATATAAATGCAGCCCTAACTCTTAGAACCAGAACCAAGAATTGTGCATCTCTGAAAACAGAAAGATAAGACCAATTTTACACACAAAACCCCAAAGAACTTCAGTGAAGTGAAACTGAAAGTTCCATGATTCTGGTAAAAATTTCCATAATAAGGAGACCAACAAATAACTTCTTTGTATGAGTTAACTTGTGCTGCCTTTACCCTCATGAGTCCAGGTTGTCTCAATGAGCCCCTAACAAGGAACAATCATGAAGGTCTGCCAGTAAAAAGAAATATGTAAAGCATTACAACAAATACCAATATCCAGACATTAAATCACTCAGCCTAAGTAAGCACCTTTTGTTGAATACCAAAGCCAAATGGTAGACCACTCACCTTCCTCAAAGCTGACATTCTTCTGTCTCACTAGAGCACGAAAGTTTCCAGCAGGATTTACACTTCCAACCTAGAACAGACCCAGACAATAAGCCTACAGGTCACTTCTCTTTGGCAACAGTCCGCAATGCAAGATGGCTTAATGTAATCAGTATGCTGTTTAAGACAAAGAGAAGGCCTTTTCTATCATGGTCCTTTCTGTTCGAGGCTAACAGATTCATCAAGTCACACAGCTGCCCTGTCTACTTTGACTCAACTTTCTCTATGTAAGCTAACTCATCTACAGAGGGGTCAGAGGTATTAAAGTGCACACCATCAGCCAGCCTGGCTTGAAGGCTTTCTGTGCTGCAGACTGCTTGAACTTCCAGATATTTCCCCACTTAGAAGGGGAGAAGGTAAAATTGTAGGTCACACTACACACATCTGCCCACTACAATGGCATGAGAAATAACCATTTAATGCTTGCTTCATTGAACATCCCTGTGAGGGAGACTGCTACTGGTTTTTTGGCACTTTAGTTTTGGCAGGACACACAAATATGCCCAAACTGAGTATGTCTTCAAAAAGTAAAAGCAGACCATGTTAAGGATTTGCTAGGCATTTTAAAACAAACCCATGTCTTTAATCTGCTGGTCCTACCCTGACACAGAAAAAAAACAAAGGAGTAAGGCTGGTAAACTTAAGTACAAATGTACTTCTCTTTCCAGTTTGCTTTCGATTAGCATGTAGAAAAGGAAGATCTTTCCTCCTACACTATAAAACGATGTCCAAATCACTTTTCAGACATTTGATTTTTCTGAGAGCATTTCTGTCTGAAGTGAGCATAAAGAGATGCCTAAGAACTGATGATCTTCCTGGTGTAATCTACTAATAAGGGGAAATTTTAAGACATGTGGATTCAAGATGTTGCTTTAAAAAGATACTATTTTCAAAAACAAACAAATAAAAAAAAAACAACTTTTCCTTGTATCAAGCTATAAGTGCCAAAAGAAGGGTATTTGGTTTGGAAAATTCTATTTAATTGAGAACATTCAAACTTTAAGACTCCTATTCTGAAACTGTATATTACAAAAGATGGTGACTAACTTAAATTTTATGTACTTAGAATGAAAACCTTTCCACCTGAGAGGCAGAAATAAAGAGGATTATAGTTCAAGGCTAGCTTAGGCAAGCCTCAAAAAGCAGGCAAGCCAGGCATTAGTGGCTCACTCCAGTAATCCTAGCTAATCAGGAGGCTGAGATTTGAGTTCAAAGCCATCCAGGCAGAAAAAGTCTATGAGATTCTTATCTCCAATTATCCACAAAAAGCCAGAAGTAGAGGGATGGATCAAGTGGTAGAGCACCAGTCTGGCATGTTACCTACTTATCCTTTTGAATAAATGGAAAGCTGAAAAATGAGCCCCCAAAAACTCCATTAAAAATGCTATTATTGATAAGTGTGATAACCCATAGCTATAATTCCAGCACTCAAGAGTCTAAAGAAGAAGAGTCCTGAGTTTGAGGTGTGTCTGGATATGTAGCAAGGTCCTATCACAAAAGATAAACAAACAAAATGTCATTGGTGATGTCTACTGTGTAATATGTTATTTAGAGCCTATATGCTACATACTTAAGTAAATGACTGATAAAAATCACTTAAAAAAAAAAAAAAAAGAGTAAGTGTGGGATGGGCCTTTATAGTTCCCATAGAAGACCAGAAAATGTTATGTTAGCAGACTCAGCAACCTTGATGTAATCACCTAGAGCCCTGGCCTTTGAAGCATACTGGAAAGCTGCTTACCTTAGTGACAGTGCCTTCGGCCAGGCTAGAAACACTAAAGTTGGCTTCCCCTTCCTCAGTTTTAGATTTTTTAGCAGATGGCTCTTCTTCATGACTAAAAAAAGAAAGAAACGTTAGAGATTTTTTTCTCCCCTTACAACAAAGAGACTGAGATCTGAGGATCATCCAAATTCAAAGCCAGCCAGGGCAAGAAAGTCTGTGAGACTTTTATCTCCAATTAACCACCAGAAAACAAAGAGTGCAGCTGTGGCTTAAAGTGGTAAGAGTATTAGTCTTGAGTGAAAAAGCTCAGGGATAATGCCTAGGTCCTGAGTTCAAGCCTACAACAACAACAACAAAATTAAAAGTTAAAAAACAGAGTATTTCTGTGAAAAGTATAAACTTATTTTTCAAGCAACAAAACTAGATAGTCCCTTAACTTACTTGGTCCTTTAATTTACAAATAGACTACCTCCCTCTTCCTGCCTCAGGGCTCTAGGGACCTAAGAAAAGCCCTGACTATCTTATAGCAAGACAGAAATCAGAGCCAGGCACTGGTGGCTCATGCCTGTAATCCTAGCTACTCAGGAGGCTGAGATCTGAGGACCAAGGTTCAAAGCCAGTCCAAGCAGGAAAGTCCGTGAGACTCTTATCTCCAATAAACCACCAGAAAACTGGAAGTGGCGCTGTAGCTCAAGTGATAGAGTGCTCACCTTGAGCTGAAGAGCTGAGGGACAGCACCCAAGCCCAGTTCAAGCCCCCATGACCAACAAAAACAAAAAACACTGCAGTCAGCATTAGCAGCTATAGCACAAAATCATTGCAAAAGATGAACAGGTAGTGGAAACACCATTTACAAAAGAAATCTAGGTAGCAGAAATACAGTTTAAGAAATAAATGTGGAGCCAGGTGCCAGTGGCTCATGCCAGTAATTCTAGCTACCCAGGAGGTTGAGATCTGAGGATCGCAGTTCAAAACCAGCCCAGGCAGGGAAGTCTGTGAGACTCTTATCTCCAATAAACCTCTCAGAAAACTGGAAGTGGCGCAGTAGCTCAAGTGGTAGAGCACTAGCCTTGAGCTGAAGAGCTGGGGGACAGCATTCAGACCCAGAGTTCAAGCCCCATGACCGACCCCCCCCCCCCCCAAAAAAAGGAAAGAAATCTGGGCTGGGAAGGTGGCTCAGTGGTAGTGTCTTGCCTTGCATGTATAAGGCCCTGGGTTCAATTCCTCAGTACCACATAAGCAGAAAAAGCTGGAAGTGGCATTGTGGCTCAAGTGGTAGAGCACTCGCCTTGAGCTGAAGACCTGAGGGACAGCGCCTAGGCCCAGAGTTCAGGCCCAGGACAGACCAAAAAAAAAAAAAGAAAGCCATCTGCTCTTCTGATATTATTTGTCAGGCTTTAGCTCAGAATTGAAACATTAGAATGAACAGACCTTTCTGTGTGCTAACCCTTCTCTTCATCCTATAGGTGATGAGATTACAAGATTTTGCTTATAGCTGTCAAAACTTGCCAGGCTATCAATTAAATATGCAGGAGTTTAAAACATAAGTCTTAAACTATTTTTTAAAAACTTTTAAGTTGTTTTTTTTTTTTTTTTTGGGGGGGGGGGGTGCCAGTCCTGGGCTTGAACTCAGGGTCTAGGCCCTTCCTTGAGTTTTTGTACTTAAAGATAGCACTCTACTACTTAAACCACAGCTCCACCTCATGCTTGGGGTGTGGGGTACGGGTAGGCTGTGGTGGTGCTAACTGGAGATAAGAGCATGTGTTTCACAAATTTTCTTGTCCAGACTGGCTTCAGAACTTAACCTCCTGAGTAGCTAGGATATAGGCATGAACCACTAGTGCACAGCCCCAAAACCTTTTAATTTGTTCTTTATAAACCTACTAATGTTCTGAGAACTTTGATAACAAGTCCAATAGCATCTGTGTGCTAAGGGAACAATCACTGAGAGAAAGTCTATCAAACATCTTGCCCCAAGTAACACACTGGCTTTAATAGCTTGCCTTAAAGTTAAGAGGAGGTCAAGTTAATTGCAAAGAAGAAAATCAAATCCAAAGGCTCTGCCCATGATCTCCCTTATACTGTGAAACATAAAGATAGGAAAAAATTTTTTCTCCAGAAAATAATCACTTAGGCTACAAGTAGACCTCAAGAACTGGATGAATAAAATTAGTAACTAAAAAGGTTGATGTTTTAAAATATGTATACAGGGGCTGGGAATGTGGCTTAGTGGAAAAGTGCTTGCCTAGCATGCATGAAGCCCTGGGTTCGATTCCTCAGTACCACATACACAGAAAAGGCTAAAAGTAGTGCTGTGGCTCAAGTGATAGAGCGCTAGCCTTGAGCAGAGACGCTCAGGGACAGTAACCAGGCCCTGAGTTCAAGCCCCAGGACTGGCAAAAGAAAAAAAAAAAAGTATGTATCATGAAATGGCTGACTTGTCACTTAACATTTATCTAATGTTGTTGGTGGTGGTGGTAGTGGTGGTGGTGATGGTGGTGATGGTGGTGGTGGTGATGGTGGTGATGGTGGTGGTGGTGATGGTGGTGGTGGTAGTGGGTAGTGGTGGTGGTGGTGGTGTATATGTGTGCATGCACTGATAACAGTTAAAATCTACTCTATTTAGGATTTTCTTCTTTCTTCAAGAATTGGGGACTGGACTCAGGGCCTTATTCATGCTAGGCAAGGTGAAACCTACTAACTACATTCTTCTATAAGGGTTTTTCAATACTAGCCTATTTTTTTTCTTCCAAACCATACCTTTCAGACAGTGAGGCTTTAAGAAAAGGTTACTTTAAAAATAAAGAACAATAAATCTTAATAATAAATCTTGAAACTCACTGAAAACTGTTGAATAATAAATAGTGTGGAGGATAATTAGAGTAGGCAAAGAGGGTTGCTCTGATTAAATACTGTATATGTATGTGAAATACCACAGTGAAACTCCTTTGAACAATTAACATATACTTAAATAAGTAAATGACAAGAATGGAAAACAGGTCTAGTTCAGAATGTAGGTAATAGCGAGAGGGGGGAAGGACAAACAGTAAGAAGGGGAAAAATGATCAAAGTATCTTATACACATATGTGAAAACAGAACAGTGAGGCATATTAAGATTGATTTGAGAAAAGGGGGAATGAGGATGAGTAATGAAGGGAGGGAGTCTGGTCAAGGTACATTTTATGCATACATGGACAGGTCAAAAACAAAAACCCTGTGGACAATATTAATGCTTATAAAAAATGTGAGGAAGTTGAAAGGGGTGACATTGATCAAGATATATTGTATTCACAAACTGCTTTGTTAAATAGCAACTCCTTCGTACAAAAACTTAAAGATAACTTTTTTTGTAAATGGGGGAAAGCATTGTTACTAGACAATATATTAACTTGAAGTAAAAGGGGTGTATTTGATGTAAATTTAATACAATTTGGTGTACTGGAGATAGAGAGCTAAAGAAAGTGACTCCCAGGAAATTTGGTGTCGTGCACAGAAATACATGGAATAACATGGAAGAGGTGTTTGAAAGGAGCATAGAGGGAGAGATGATTAAGTCATTTCTGAGCATATTGAACTTAAGGTAACACTGGATGGGATGAAAACCTGGGCTACAAGCAGTCAGAGGTTTTTGAAGCCCTGGATGTAAAATAATAAAGTATCTTGGAATATGCATTGTTAAGGTGATAATGGTATCATGGATAAGAATCCAGAGTTAAGATTTCCTAAACTTGTCTTTTTTTCAATTAGCATACATTAGTTGGTCAAAAGAGATTTCATTATGACATTTCCAGTCTGTATACCATGCAATCTGATCAACTTCATCCCCTCTGTATTAAGTCTCTCTTAAATCTTTACTCAACATTTACCAACTGGGATCTTGGGCATATTTCCTTTCTTCTCTAATCCTCAGCCTCCTCAGCATTAAGATGCTATCAATAAAGCAAGCTACTTCACAGGATAGCCAAGTGGATCCATACAGATAATGTAGGTAAAGTACTCAGCCTTATACTTGTGTTAAATGTTAGCTATTTCTGAACATCATCAGTGTTTAAGGTTGGTGGGGAAAGCAAAGCAAAACCCAGAGGAATCTGACGGAGAAACGTCAAAGGTTAGGAATAAAAATCTAGAGAGGCTATAAAGTTAAGGAAGATACACAAATGTTGAGGGGAAAGAAGAAAAGAATAATTGGCAATATCAAGTGCTACAAAAAAAGTCATTAAGAAAAAGACTGCAAGGTAGGTAAATGTAGTCATTATATTTAGTGTACATTATGAAAAATATGAACTATGTAACTTGAGGATAGGGATGGGGAAAATGGAGAACAAAGAAGGGCTGACATTGACCAAGAAGCACTGACCTCAAACCTGACTTATGGAATTGTAACCCCTTTGTACAACTTAATAATAATAATAACAACAACAACAACAACAAAGAAAAGGACTACAAATTGTAAGAGAAGTTAGCAATTTGCCTTTTAAAGACCATTATCAAAGAGGTGGAGGGGTCAGCAGAGAATGAGACTGAAAAAGGCAGCAAGTGTAGATTCTTCTTCCAGTAAGCCAGGCATATAGAAGAAAGGATAATAATTAGATTAATAATCAGTAACAGGTAGTAGTAATTAAATAGAGGAACCTGTAGGAATTACTTTGTTTTAGATTAAAAGGGAAGACAAGAGGTGGTAGAAAGGGAGCTCCACCAGTGGACTAATGCAGCAATAAAATGGAAGATGGAAGTTCTGGGCCCAGGTGAAAGGATAAACTGGGTATCATATATCCACTGAGTAAGGAAATGAGAATAAAGGTAAATGTGAAATAGGTTATGTTTTTAAGTAAGGGCCAAAAAATAACTAAGGAGTTCCCACCTATAGGCCTCTTACTTTCTCTAGAAAATCATCACTACTATCATCACCATTGTCATTGTGACTCATGTGCTAGGGACATAAGCAGCTTTAAAAAAAAGATTATTTACAGTTTTATTATGTGCTAGGCCTTGTGTTGAGTTTTAGGTAAACATTACTCAGTTAGCCCCAATGAAACTTATGAGGCAGATATTACTATAATCGCTATTTTACCAATGAAGAAACTAAAGCTTAGTTTTCCTGAGGACACACTGCAGAGCAAGGTGACCAGCTCTCATTGGCTGACTCTGGAGTCAGGACTCTGGCCAGGACTCCTAGTCATTAACCAGGTAATGCTGACTGATGAGCATGGGTGTAAAGAAGTCTTAGGGATTTGAAGAGAAAGCCTTAGAATGACTTACTGCATAGGGCAAAAGGAAAGCAAGATTATACAATCATCAGTTGCACAAGTGGACCGTAGATGCCCCAATTCTCAGGCAATTCTCTGGGAAGTGATGCTTTTCTGTAAGGGTAGTATTTAGTATATTGTGACACTGTGAAATGGTACTCTTTCCCTCCTGAAATGAATAAATCATTACGACTAGGTATTCAGCAGGTTTCAGATGAATGGCAGATCTCAGACATTCAATGTTTTGCTGACAATGATACTACTACTGTTTGAGTTTTATTTATTTATGTATTTTTTGGGTCCGGTCGTGGGGCCTGAACTCTGGGTCTGGGCACTGTCCCTCAGCTCTTCAGCTCAAGGCTAGTGCTCTACTACTTGAGCCACAGCGCCACTTCGGGCTTTTTTCTTTTTGCTTATGTGGTGCTGAGGAATCGAACCCAGGGCCTCAGGCATGCAAGGCAAGCACTCTACCAACTGAGGCACCTTCCCAGCCCCCGAGTTGTAATTATTGCCTTCCATCTATATAGTTCAAAGTGCTTTAACATCTGTGATTTCAATGCTATAATCTCTTGATATGAGGCTGCTTTCAGGTGGAGAAAATCTCAAAAAGATAAAATAACATCAAAATCAGAGCAAGAGTGACAATTTGGGACAAAAACTAGGCTTTGACTATGAAACTTCCTGAACAGACATTTGCCACCCCAAAGTTTATACCTTCTCTCTCCCATTGGAAATGCATCCTCTGAATACAGGGATGATAAACATGTACTAAACACATCATAATGTTAGCAATCTTGTTTTTCCCCTGAGTGAATTTACCCCCAAAGTTAGCTAGAGTTTTTTCATTAAAATAGAGTTTTAAGAACTTTGCAGAAGGGACTGAGTCATGCCTTTAGAATGCAGGAAGTTCTTAGTAAATATGTGCTAAATACATCATTTCTGCAGTTCTTAAAAGCTAAAACTTCTAAAGAAAAAAGGGCAGTGAATAGGCATGTAAATAGGTATGCACAAAGGAGACAATTCCCATGCCCCAGGCAGGTAACTGGGCTAAGTCACCAAATATAGGAGCAAAGAACAAGAAACCCAGTATGCCCAGGCTTCTAGAACAGAGTGATAGGACTACAGCTGAAGGTGTAGTCACCATCAAATCTCAGCACAGCAGCCTTCTGGATGTTTGTGGTGAGTGTTTTTTTTTCCCTTAAATCAGCTAATTTACATTTTAATCAAAGGAGAAGGAGAAAATGGCCCATTTCTTTCTCACAACACCAGAAGGTAATCAAGATCATGAACTAGAGCTTTAATAGAGAAAGAATAGCCCTGTGATTGCAGTGAGACTATAGCAAGGTGTCATGGGAAGAAAAGGCTTCAGGTTTGTATTGAACTGTTCTAATCTAGGCACCCAGAGACATACAGGTAGTCCAGGATGGCAGAGAGAGGGGGTATTTTTAGGGACAAGCTTCCTGTATAGAAGACATGATAGACTAAGAAGAGCTGTAAATCTCTCCAGGATGTGCTAGGAGTACACATGACAGAATCCACTGACTACATGATTTTTTTTTCAACTCTAACAAAATGTGGGGTATTTCCTCTGCAAAAGGAGACACAGAACACATGCATGCACATGCATGTGCATACACACAAATGCATACTCAACTTGGACAATAATTCACTAATCAGTGCTTTATAGAAACTAGTGAAAATTTCTCAATGTTTTACCACTAAGGTATTTATAAATAATAATCTTCACTTTGTCAATAAAGATATAGCTATGTGGAAGAAATCAAAGGAAAATGAAAAACAAAAACAAAAAATCATTGTCTAAAGTCAGATCCCAAAATGCAGCATTAAAAAATGAATAGATTATTGTGGTTTGAGAAGAAAAATCACTTAATAACCTTTGACTGAAACCTAGTAAAGGCAATACTATATACCCAAATGATTCTGTCTATCAAGGGACAATTTATTTTTGTTCTGTATGTATGAATGGAATTAATACAGATTCTTCACAGAATGTAATGAGGAAAAAAACTTAACAGCCTATTTGCATGCTTGATTAAAGGATCATATGAAAAGCACTTTACAAATCTTTATCTACCTCCCTAACAACATAACCAAGTGCACTACTGACATGCTACCAGAACATCTAAAGGACTACATTGGTCATTTTCCTTGCTTTTCCTCCAAAAATGTTATTAATAAATAACCTCCCCACCAAAGAAACCTCATGATCTTCACCTCATCCCCAGCTCCTTACTTTAAAAAGGGAACATTTTCACCTTAAATGTTTTAAAACTTTGCTTAGCCTTCTTGTATATAATTCACCAAAAATTTCATCCCTCATCCAAAGTCAACAACCCAGAAGGTTGTTCTAAATCTCAAGTGAACAGCAAAGATAAATTATGACTACAACAGACAAACATGAGAAATCAGTGCTTCCATGCCACCAACAGATTACAAAGCTTCTTCCTCCAATCTTCGCAAATGCCACAAACCCCTTGTCAACACCTGAATTCTAAACACCTCCAAGACTGCCTTAAATCTTAAGCACAACCACACTGAGCACTTACTTGTCTTGGAAAATATCCTGGGCAGTTATTTGATCCTTTTTCTTGATGGCTTCAGTGAGAGGGAAAAGAGTCTTTATTTTAGAAAAAGAACTCTGACATTTTGCTCTCACTTCAGTGGGAGGGTCCAGCATATTCAAAAGATGCTGCTGAATTGGGGGCAGAGGCTCCTGGGGATGTAAAGCTCTGTGCAGCAGACACTGTTGGCAAAGTACAAGGATTTTAAAACACAGACGGCGATATCATATATGGCTTCTATTTTCTGGCCGGGGATCTTCCTTCCATCTTTAGTTTGGAAGGGTTATGTGACTTGTATCATAAAGAACCACCTTTGCTAGAAGGACACATCTAAAACCAAGTATAAATAGACACAAGCTCAGCAGCAGTGACTTCTGTAGACTTTCTAGTGCCTTCTGTAGACTTTCTAGAAGGTAGCATCATCTTACCAAACGAAGCTGTAGCTTCTTGTGGGGGAATATACAAGGTTCCCTAAAAAACATAATTCAAGCCAGGTGCTGGTGGCTCCTGCCTATAATCCTAGCTGCTCAGGAGGCTGAGATCTGAGGTTCATGGTTCAAAGCCAGACTCGGCAGAAAAGTCCATGAGACTCCAATACACTACTCAGAAAAAGCCAGAATTAGCGCAGTGGCTCAGTGTTAGCCTTGAACACAAAGAGGCTCAGGGACAGCACCCAGGCCCTGAATTCAAGCCCCAGGACTAGAAAATAATAATAATAATAATAACTCAAAGGATGTCTGAAAAATCTGAGATGAAAAATCATTTTATTTGTCCTTGAAAATTGGATCACTTTTTTTTGTTGTTGGTCATGGGGCTTGAACTCTGGGCTTGAGCGTTATCCCTCAGCTCTTCAGCTCAAGGTGAACACTCTACCACTTGAGCCACAGCGCCACTTCTGTTTTTTTGATGGTTTATTGGAGATAAGAGTTTCATGGACTTTCTTGCCTGGGCTGGCTTTGAACCACGATCCTCAGATCTCCACCTCCTGAGTAGCTAGGATTGCAGGCGTGAGCCACCGGCACCCAGCCAATCACTTTTTAAAATCATATTCAAATAGTTGTAGATAAGAGGGATTCAATTCAACATGTACATTTATGAGTACAATCAATCTTGAAGTTTCTCATCTTAAATCTACAGCAGTTTCTCCTTCACTGAATCTTAGAAGTCAATCTGTAGTGAATGAAACAGGTGGCTAAAGGGGGGCTATGCACGCTCAGAGAGTTCTAGGAGGAAGTCTTCCAAACCTGTCAGGAATACGGACTGTGACTTTATCTCCATTAGTCTGTCTACCTCTGTCTGTCCCACTGCTACCATTCTTGCAGTCCCCTGCCCAACCCAATCACGTTCTGATTGGTCCTGTGTGTCAAATAACCTGCCAAAGAGCTTCTTACCATGTCTGGAGAAGTCCTGCAGGACACAGCCCCTGCCTGTCTCTCTGATCAGAGTACCTGCCACTCCTCACTCACACCCAGCAAGGATGGGCTCCTTCCAGAGTTACTCATGTGTCTTATTCATGGCCTTAATGATCCATCTCTGCCTTCTGCCTCCTCAAAGACCTCAATAAAGTTGGCTCTTCCTTCTTTCCCCTCACCCATTCCCCTCCCATCTCCTTACCTCCCCTTTCTGTCTTCATTCAATTATTATCTCTTCAGAATCTTTCTCTGACATTGTATATGAAGTATCCCCTCTACTCATACTCTATCATTTGCTTTACTTTATATTTTGACAGCATCTATTATTGCCTAAAATTATCTTATCAATTTATTTTATTATCCAATCTTGCTCTTTCAGAGTAGAGATCTTCTCTTGATTACTGCTGAATTCAAGCGCAGAAATCATGTCTGACACATAAGCACCTAACAGACTGACTGAATGAATGTCTTTCCCAGGGCTCTCATCACTGACAGCAGTATACACAGAAGCAGCACCGAGAGCAGGGGCAGATCAAGGCTAAGGCAGGCTCTCTGCTCCTTATAGAAGTAGAACTGGTCATCAAGCCACTTCCATCCATCCCCTGTACTGCTTGCGGTCTAATAAACTAGGCCTTGGCAGCACTCTGCCAAGAAAAGTAAATACTCTAACAGCAATGAAATGCTATCAAGAAAAAAGGACAATCAGCAGTTGGCTGATGTTTCCTTTCTGAGTCAAAGATTAATTCTACCACTGATCTATACCCAAGCTCTATTTCTCATTCTAAACAAATTATTAGTAGTTTTAAAGGAAAAAAGAGGACAGGGAGCTGAATAACTCCTACAATTTCAAACTACCATTTTGTATTTTTCCTTAATGTAAGCTACAAGTTTTAATCCCCCTCTTAAAAAAAGCAGATACTGGTCTGGGAAGGTGGCTCAGTGGTAGAGCACTTGCCTTGCATGCCCGAGGCCCTGGGTTCGATTCCTTAGCACCACATAAGCAAAAAAAAAAAAAGAAAAGAAAAAAGCCAGAAGTGGCACTGTGGCTCAAGTGGTAGAGCACTAGCCTTGAGCTGAAGAGCTGAGGGACAGCGCCCAGGCCCAGAGATCAGGCCCCACAACCGGACCCAAAAAAAACCAAAAAACAACAACAACAAAAAAAGCAGATACTTAGGTCTTAATAGTGAATATCATTCATGAGTCAATGTCCTACAAATTCAGAAAACCCTTGTGGAGGAATTAAATACCAAGTTCCCTCTAGAAATTCCATGTTTTACTCCCTTCATCATCCCTTTCCATATACCAGCCCCTTTTCCCTCTTTAAAGCATACTCATTTGTTTCAGGGTCTGATTTCTTCTTTCTTCTTTCCTAATTATTTGACTTCCCCTGAGTATCAACAAGCCTTTTCAGTTTAAAGCAAAAAGAGAAACCAAAATACCCAAGCTCTCCAAATCTACCTGTAGCCTTTTCATGTATAAGCCCTAATCCACAATGTTTCTCCCTTGGTTAAAAAATATCTCTGCTTAGAAAATCTGAACAACTAATGTACTAATGTATGTAAGTGAAAACATGATTTTTGGAGGGAGGGTAAAGGGGTGGAGGGGTGTATGAATGAAGGGTTAAAGATTGGCCAAATACAATCATTATAGCCAATGTACATCATGTACGTTGTAGTACATTGGGTAGGGATGGGAAGTGGAAAACAGGGGAGAACAACGGAAAGGATGACATTGACCAAGACGCACCGTACCCATAACCTGACAGGGAATTATAGCCTCGTTGTGCAACTACTTAATAATAAGTATAATAAAATAACCACTGGAGGGAAAAGGAAAAAAATTCCTAAAGAATAAGCTATCAAACTGGCAGATGTCCCCAATTTCTTGAGTCCTGTTCACTTTGTCATATCTCCTCTAGTGTCCATGTATCAGGGAGACCACTGCACAGGTTATTTTTGAGACAGAGTCCAGCTGTACACCTGGACCTCGATTTTGAGGTTTCCCATCATAGTTGGGATGCCAGGCACACACCACCATGCCTGCCTTCTTTTCACTGAGATAGAGTCTTCCAACCTTTTCTACTCTGACTAGCCTGGAACTGCAATCCTCCCTATCTCAGAGTTCTCAGGCAGCTAGGACAACAGGCATGTGCTTCTGCATAGAGCTATTGGTTTGAGTAAATGGCCAGCACAGACTGAAAATACAATCCTCCTGATCTCAGCCTTCCAAGTACCCAGCTAAGGACTGGTTTGGTTTGGGTTTTTTGGGGGGTTGATTTTCAATCAATCACAATTATTATGCTAAGAGTACATTATTCACTGAAGTAGCCTTTAAACTTACTATTTTTAATTTCAGCACCAAAGTTTTTTTCAGTCTTTAAACAAAACTAAACATCAAGAAAATAGGCAGCTTCTTCTGCGTAGAGTTCCTAATGGGGATCCCAATATGGATTTAGGTTAGTTATAAATGTTTGTAAGGTAAGTCAAAGGGACAATGTCTGCTTACCCCATCACATATTTGCCCACTTAGACTGAAAAGCAATGCTCCATTTGGTGTCAATGTCCTACAGTTATTACTTTAACCGAGGAACAAACCCCTGCAGCCCTGGTCTTTCCCTTCCTTTCCTCGCCATAAATAAGCTTTCTTGTCAACTCCTCCAGTGTTCCTTAATCCAATTCCTGCCTTCCAATTTCTCTGGCCTAATATCCAGAAACATTTTATATTTTTCTCCATTTTAGTTATTCTTGAATCATTTCATAGCTATAACCTATGAAAGATTCTTTTTGTGTGTGTTTGTGTGTAGTACTGAGATTTGAACTCAGAGCCTCATGCTTGCAAGGTGGGCACTCTGCTATTGAGTTAAAATAATCAGCTTTTTCCTGTGCTGGTGATTTTTGGTAGGTTCTTCCTGACCAGATGTGCACTTGGGCTGTGATCTGCTTATTTTAGGCCTCTTATCATTGCTGGGATAACAGGCATGTACCACTTTACCCAGCTTCAGATGAGAAGGGGTCTGTGAACTTTGCTGCCCATGCTGACATTGAACTGAGATGCTCCTAAGTAAAAAAAATGATTCACGTATGGGGAAACAAAGGAGGAGGCAACAATGCTTGATAAGAAATGTACTCACTGGGTGGGAAGGTGGCTCAGTGGTAGAGTGCTTGCCTTGCATGTATGAGGCCCTGGGTTCGATTCCTCAGCACCACATAAGCAGAAGAAAAAAAAAGGCGGAAGTGGCGCTGTGGTTCAAGTGGTACAGTGCTAGCCTTGAGCTGAACTGCTGAGGTTCAGCGCCCAGGCCCAGAGTTCAGGCCCACGACTGGACCCAAGAAAAAAAAAAAAAAAAAAAGAAATGTACTCACTATCTTGTCCATGTAATTGCAACCCCTCTGTATGATATTTTCACAATAATTAAAAAAAATGATTCAATTCTACTTTTTAATTTTTCTCTTTTTCAGTAAGGAAAGAAAATTATTCTTCTATTAAATAGAGCAAATGGGAGCTGGGAAAGTGGCTTAGTGGTAGAGTGCCTGCCTTGTATGCATGAAGCCCTGCGTTTAATTCCTCAGCACCACATAAACAGAAAAAGCCAGAAGTGGCACTGCGGCTCAAGTGGTAGAGAGCTAGCCTTGAGCAGAGAGAGGCTCAGGGACAGAGACCAGGCTCTGAGTTCAAGCCCCAGGACTTGCCTCCCCAAAAAAACAAAAATAGAGCAAATTGGGCCCTCAAAGGAACTGGCCAGGGCCACAGCTTCTCACTTAACATTGTTTTATTTAAAAGAAATGATTGTCTCATTTTCCTCTCTTACCTGGAATAACCTCTGAAATTCAGGATTTGGGATTTTGGTGGTTTGAAACAAATCTTCAATAGTGTCTTCTTCTTCATCTTTCTTAATCAAGCTCATGGAGTCAATTAGCTCATCAATGGCACTCAATTGTGCCTCTAAAACAAAAGCAGAAAGAAAAAACACGATCATTTCCATTACTCAATGAAAAAGAAATGCTTCCCATTTATAAATACTTATAGAATTTTGGCAGGTTTTATGATACTGGCTATGCTAAAAATATTCTCTAGTTATACAAGTACTTAAGTTGAGTTTTGGTTTTCTTATTTGTGAAAAGAACAATTTGACTTCTTAGGTCTTTCTAAATTCACTCCTCAGTTAACCTTTGGCAACAGAGTATGATAACAAGAGTTTGTTCTCAAAAAATACACTACACCATATAAACACCAAATACTCTATGGAGAGCTGAACAAAATATTAAGTATTCAATGAGCTAATATTTTTAAAGTAGCAACTAGCAAGGCAGAAAAATATTTTAAAAAGAATAAACTCGCTAGTAGTGAAGCATAAACTTCTAAAGACTTAATAGAACTTTTATCAGAGTGCAACACCTTCACAGGAAGATGCTCTTAGAACAGAGTAAGTGAATTTCTTCATAATCTCCAGTCAGCTCTCTCCTTCTGCAAAGCATCATGACACTAGGCACACTGCATATGCTCTTACCTGCCAACATGTCTTAGTCCACTCCATTCAAACCCTAAAGCTCCTTGATGGCAAAAACATGACAACTACTCTTCTTTATGTCACACTGAATATCTACCAGAAAAAGCAAGTGCTCCTCAGTAAAAAACCTATCAAGTCAACAAAAATGGCACAGCCCCAAGCAATGTGACTGAAAGGTAACTTCCCCAAACTGCTTTGAGCCACGGGTAACTTTCACTCTGCTGATTCACAGCAGTTCAGTTATTGAGCTGAAACACTGATTTGGGATTTAATAACTAGGTAAAAGGTGGAAAAGGGTAAACAATTCCATAAAAGTACTTTATTCTTCTGCTCCTCACCTTTTCAGGTATGCCTTTCATATACACACACTTATTGTGAGACATTGCCTTACTGTGTGTGAACTTTCCAGGGAAGGTTTCAAGCAATAGCACAGCCATCTTAATCTTAGGCTGATTAGTCTAGTGTCTACCTGGTAATAGTTAAGAGCTGGACCTAACATAAGACCATTCTGTAAACTACCAGCTAGTACCACTAGTTAGCCTCAGGCCAGATCACTGACACTGCAAACCCCACAGAAAAAATAAACAGAATTGTCAAATTGCAGAATTCACATCAATGGACTGAAAGATATTTAATGTTTTAGACTCTGGATGATTTATAAAATAATGTCTCAACAACATTCTCCTTAAAATAGTCTACTCATTGAAAGTTTGGAACCATAAAAAGGCAAAGCCATACTGTAACACAATGCTAACAACACATTATCCCTTCTTGCCTCCATCATATCATCAAGTGACAGAGGGACTTATCTCTAGACAGCAGGTAGACACCAGCACTAAGGAGCCACTTCCAGCTTTTTATTTTTCTGCTTATGTGGTGCTGAGGAATCAAACCCGGGGCCTCAGGCATGCAAGGCAAGCGCTCTACCACTGAGCCACCTTCCCAGCCCCTTATTACAACCTTCTTAAGCAATGAGCTCTCTGGAACACTGGACCTGAGACTATAACAATCACTCTATAGTCAGATGCTTAAGAACAGTTTTCTCATCAAACACAAAGTAATTGCTGAAAGCAGGAAATACATAGCAATGAGACCTGGATCATTGTTGTTAATTACATAGGAAGGGCAAAGAGGAAAGTTAAACCTTAGCACTGCCACTTTCATTTCAAAGATATATCTGATTTTATGTAGGCCAGTAAAGACATAAGTTTAATGCTACATGCTAATTCACTTTAGCAGGGGCAAATTTTCTGCTCACAACTAGAGAATAGACATTCCACACCAGCAGGCTACTCCCTGATACATACTCAAAGTCAGAAGTGAAACATGACACTGTGGACAGTTTAGGGGAAACCAATCCCCACTACTGGAAAAATAGCTGGTGAACTACCATCATTATTATGTGGGTCTGTGATTAGAATCTAACTCATTCTATCCTGTACAATCACGGCCTCCATCAATGGCTGCAGCCAGGTGGTTTCCCAAGGTCAAGCTGCATGTAGAGTCATTAGAGAGCTACATGGAAATAACTCACCCGAGGGAGTGAATTTCTTATTATTTTTCAGTGATGAAAACATGTACTGCCGCAAGTCTTCCATGAAAGGCAGCTGCACATACACTAAACACTAATGAGAAAGAAAAGAGATAAGAGCAGAAGCAATCAAATTAATGGCAAAATCTATTTTTTTAAAAAAAGGTCCCAATACAAAAGTATAATGCCTACGTGCCTCTGATCATACAAAACAGTATTTATTGAAATGTATTCCAGAAAATGGAAACAAGAGGATTTTCTTTTTTTTTTTTGGGTCCGGTCCTGGGGCCTGAACTCTGGACCTGGGTGCTGTCCCTCAGCTCTTCAGCTCAAGGCTAGCGCTCTACCACTTGAGCCACAGCGCCACTTCCAGCTTTTTTCTTTTTGCTTATGTGGTACTGAGGAATCAAACCCAGGGCCTCAGGCATGCAAGGCAAACGCTCTACCACTGAGCCACCTTCCCAGCCCCAACAAGAGGATTTTCTTTGTGGTTGTTTTTATTTTTTTTGTCTTGTTTGCACATTTATCTGTCTTTGGAAGGGCAAAATAGGGCAAAGAAATAGGGGGACAAAGGGTGAACAAATGCAGCTGTAATATCCACTAGACAACATGTTGGGAACAGGAGGGAAAAACTGGGAGAATGAGGGAAGTGGTGACATTGTCTAAAAAGAAATATATTCCTCGCCTGACTTATGTAACTGTAACCCCTCTGTACATCACCTTTATAATAATAAAAAAAATGTTTTAAAGTTCCCAAATGCTGTGAAAGTGGCACAACAGAAATATTTTAAAATCTGGCACATGAAAAATAGTGTTTTGACTTCTGTACTGACTATTCACAAGTGCAATAAGCATAAAGGAAACATAAAAGAAATGCTTCAAAGAAGACTGCTAAATTCTAACTGTAAAATTGCATGACCAAGTAGAACAAAGGAGAAAAGTCAGGGTGCCTGGAAAGCTGACCTGCAAGTACAAGACATCTGCCTTCTCTTTATATTTCCACCACACTAAGTTCTCTGAGAAATAGGAAACAACATAGAGTTCTCATCTCCATTTGATTTTATTCCCTGACATGCGCCAAGGTTTTTTTATCTGCATCAATACAAGGGGATTACATTTGATGTGAGATGCATATAAATAATTAGACTCACCCCTCCTCTATCATTCTCCCTTCCTTTTTCCTCCCTAGTCCTGTATTGTAAACAGAGAAGCCCCAAATAAACTGAATTTCACAAAGTTCATATCAGAACCACTTCCTCAACCTTTACTCATAGTCTTATTTGTTAAAATGGAGGTGATTTCTATACCCACATTGGATTAGAAAAGGTAAAAGAAAAGAAGGCCGCAGTTAACTTGTATGGATTTAATAATAACTAAAAACACAAAACAAAACAAAAACCAGTAGTATCAGCAGCATTAATTTGAGAGCTTGCAAGAGTGCAGAATCTAGGCCCAATCCTAGACCTACAGAATTAGAATTTGCATTTTAACAAGATCCCCAAATAATTCCTATACATGTTAATAATAAAAAGACATGTGGGTTTTACCTCATAAGCTTCTTTGATGAGAGGAAAAGCCACACCAACTTGAGGGTTAGTTTTTTTGCCATAAGCATATCGAATTATGGCAACCATGTCTAATTCATCCAAAGCATGAATCAAGGAGGAGAGTGCAACTGCTGCTGCCTGTGAAAAAAGATGTGGCTATTATAACACATCCAAGGTGTAAGAGGGTCAAGCAAAGAAAAGTACCTTTATATAAGCACCATCCACTTTCTTTCTATCTCAAACCTTTTAACTTAGCTGGGCATCAGTGGCTCATGCTTGTAATCCTAGCTACTCAGGATGCTGAGATCTGAGGATCACGGTTCAAAGCCAGCCCAAGCAGAAAAGTCCGTGAGACTCCTATCTCCAATTAACCACTGGAAAACTGGAAGTGGCACTGTGGTTCAAGCGGTAGAGTGCTTTCCTTGAGCTGAAAAGCTCAGGGACAGCGCCCAAGACCTGAGTTCAAGACCCTGACGGACAAAAAAGACAAAAAACAACTTTTAACTGCCCCTAGGCACTGAAATGTAGTTCAGTGATAGAGGCCACTTAGATTTGTAAGTCCTGGATTTGATCACCAGCACTACCAAATAGAAAGGAAGTTCGAAGGAAGGAAGGAAGGAAGGAAGGAAGGAGGAAGGAGAGAAAAAGAGAGAAAGAAAGAAGGAAAGAAAGGAAGAAAGAAAAGGAAGGAAGGAAGGAAGGAAGAAAGAGAGAAAGAAGGAAGGAAAGAAAAAAGAAAGAAAGAAAGGAAGGAAGGAAGGAAGGAAGGAAGGAAGGAAGGAAGGAAGGAAAGAAAGAAAGGAGAAAGAATACTTTACCCACTTTAATACTTTATTCACTTTAAGGCCAAACTGTACTTTTAGTGTCCTTCTTTTAGGACTTTATGAACAAGTCTTCCACTATTGCTTCATTCAACTTTCCTTCTCATCTGAATTTATATCTTTACCCTATAAATTTAAAGTTGTTTTAACAAATCTTTGTTCCACTCTCTCCATAAATTACTGCTATATCTATCTTTCCTTCTCTTCTCAAAATTTAATGGATGGGCTGGACACCAGTGACTCATACTATTATCTTAGCTACTCAGAGGGCTGAGATCTGAGGATTATAGTTTGAAGCCAACTGGGGCAGAAAAGTCCATGAGACTCATCTCCAATTAACTACCAGAAGGCCAAAAGTGGAGCTGTAGCTAAAGTAGTAGAGTGCCAGCTTGAGCAAAAAAAAATCTAAGGAACAAGCCTCAGGACCACAGCATGCACACATGCACACGCACACACATGTGTATGTGCATGCACGTGCATACACACATACACAGTATCATGGAATAATAGCTATTTCTACTTGCTGTTTCCACTGCTTTGAACACAATTATTCTTCAATCTAACTCAACTGCAGCCCCCACTTCCTTACCCATCCATGGCCTAGTTGCTGGATCCTTGGCTCCCAATGTTGCTGCTGCTAGATACACAGTAGCCTCTACCCATCCACACACCTATTTCTTTGACTACAGATCTGGAGCCAGATGCCAGTGGCTCACACCTGTAATCCTACTCAACAGGCTGAAGTCTGAAGATGTTGGTTCAGAGGCAGCCCAGGCAGGTGAGACTCTCATCTCCAATTAACCACCTAAATACCAGAAGTGGAGCTGTGGCTAAAAGTGGTAGAATGCTAGCCTTGAGCACAAAAGCACCCAGGCCCTGAGATCAAGCTACAGGACCAACACAAAAGAGAGAGAGGAAAGAGAGAAAGATCCAGAACTGCTTATAACTCAAACTATACTTCTTATCCTCCTTGCTTTTTCCTCCTACGCTCCCACTTTCAATAACACTACCAACCACTCAACCAAATAAGAGCCTTTAGTAATGCCACTTTTCTCACCCCTCAACTCTATGTGCGATCTCTCAAATCCATCACTGCCTCTCGCATTCAACAAGGTGATTGTGTTGCTCCCTTCCATCAAAACAGCCAATGATTCCAGACTCAGTGAGCAATCGGTGACCTCAGGTGGGTCTTAAACTTCCCCCATCTGGTTCTTTTGCTCATATAACTTCCTCCTGGCTATAATGTGCACTCCAAAGCCATTTTCAAGGTTCTCCATTAGATTTGCTTTGCTCAGCCCTCTCTCTCCCAAACTCCCCAAACAAAATGTACTTTCCTAGTGTTACATCTTTGATACACCTGTATCAAAGCTAATCCCAATTTCATCTATAAAAACTATGGCCTCTGTACTTTGCCATGGAAAGCCTCTACAGATATCTTAATAGATAAATTCAGCTCAATGTAAAGAATACTTACTTAGTGCCTATTCTTTGTTAGGTACTCTCTTAAGTCTTGTCAGAAAACAAAAGTCCCTACCCTTACTGAGCTAATACCTTCTTTACTAGCAGAAATAAAAAAATGTGCCTAATAAGTGGTATATGTTCTAATCAATCCTATATGAGAAGATCAGGTAGCACAAAGGGAATCTGAAGAAGTAATTAATTACTTCCAATTTGTTTGGATGCTTTTATTTGTATCTGACAGGACCAATTAGGATATCTTACATTAAGTAAGGATAGAGGTTATGAACCAATTAGGATATCTTACATTAAGTAAGGATAGAGGTTATGAAAGACTACTACATTATAATGCTGTACTCTACCTCTGTTTAACTCAACTGCAGTCCCATTTCTTCTTTCTCTTCTCCCCTTCTCTTCCATATAAAATGCAAACAAGTAATGTACAGATTTTTTTGGAGGTATTAGAATTTAAAGCCAGGGCTTCTTGCTCCTTACACAGGCTCTCTCTACTGATGGAGCCACACCTCTTGTTCTTTTGATTCTGGTTATTTTTGAGATAGAGTCTTTCTGTTATCCTGGTGGTCCTGGACTGTGATCCCATCTAGTTATAGCTAGGCATACACATCATTTCCAGCTATTAGTTGAGATGGGGGGTCACTCAAACTTTTTGCCTGAGCTGGCTTTAAACTTAGTATTACAGGCATTTATCATTTGCACAGGGCTACAACAAAATTTTTTTTGGGGGGAGGGTCTGGTCGTGGGGCCTGAACTCTGGGCCTGGGTGCTGTCCCTCAGCTCTTCAGCTCAAGGCTAGCACTCTACCACTTGAGCCACAGCGCCACTTCCAGCTTTTTTCTTTTTGCTTATGTGGTGCTGAGGAATCGAACCCAGGGCCTCAGGCATGCAAGGCAAGCGCTCTACTACTGAGCCACCTTCCCAGCCCTACAACAAAAATTTTTAAAGGAAGCTATTCACAGAATGTGAATATTTTTAAATAATGCTCTCCATCTAGTTTAATAACCCACATAATGCACGAAACTAGTGGCATTAGAGGCATTAACAGGGATGGAAATCTGACCAGCTCACAAGAAAATAAGTAATCCTTGCTGACAAAATGATTCTTCATCTGGAACAAAACTCACCAATTCACCTGTCTGGTAAGAAGCATAGATTATTTCTATTCCACATGATCATCCTTTAGATGTGTGAAGAGTGCTATTATGTCTGTCATCCTTCCTACTCCTTTATCTACCCACACAAGCCTTCCCAATGCAATTATTTCACTGGAAGTGCTCATACAACATAGCTTCCTCCTCCCCTGCATAGCTCAGAAGCTCTCGGTAGATATCACCTTTTGGCCACCACATCAAAAACTGACACCACAGAATAGTCTCCTGCCATTAAGAGATGAAGGCATCTTTATCTGAATAACCTCAAAGTGACACTACAATATATAATGTGAAAATTCACCACAGAAAATGGAGGTATTCTCATCACACACCACAAAAACAGAGTTAAGAGGGAAATGCTCATGGGACGGATGCCATCTGAGACAGCCTGCCCTATCTTTAGAACTACCTGTACTTTGCAAGCGACAATAATTTTAACCCTAGCTTGACTTGGGAACCTCCAAAGCTCACCAATTCAGAGCTCATCTGCTCCCTCAGATACTCAAAGTGCTAGGGAACCTTCTTTCATAATAACTGGCATAGATTTTTTTGACCTAATAAAACCCTCAAACTTTCCTATGTTGTTCTTACTAGAGGCCATCAGGTCTGTGTATATATGTGTCAGAGTGTAATCCTATCTGGGTTTGTTTGTTTATTGCCAGTCCAGGGACTTGAACTCAGTGGCTAGGTGCTGTCCCAGAGCTTTTGTGCTCAAACCTAGTGCTCTACCACTTGAGCCATACCTCCACTTCTGGCTTGTTGGTGGTTAACCAACAAGCCAGGGCTGGCTTTGAACCATGATCCTAAGATCTTAGCTTCCTAAGTAGCTAGGATTATAAGCATAAGCCACCAGTACCCAGCTGCAATTCTATTCTTTATTCCCAAATTTTTAAGAGTCTCTTTATTGGAGAGTTGACTTGACATAAAAATTAGTTACCTATTAGAGGCCAAATCTGAACTACACAATTCACGAGGCTTCTCTTAGTGATGAAGTCTACAGAATCATCCAGCACATGAGTCTCAACATATCCTTGTGATATAATGTTCTTCACTGAATACCCAGCAATTTTCATGAAGTGATTAGAATTCTTTGTGTGAAGGGATAAGTGGTAGTTAAAACTTCAGCAGAAATTTTTTTTAAAAAAAATTACAAGCCAGGCTGCAGTAACTTATATCTATACTACTAGCATCTTTGGACCAAAGATTATGGTCCAAAGCCAGCCAGGGCACAAAAGTCAGAAATTCTACCTCCAAAATAATCATCAAAAAGACATTATCACTGAACTGAGGAAGCAAGAGGAATGAGGTCCTGAGATCAAACCACGGCACTGATAAAAACAAAAGAGAAGTCATACCTTGACAACATGTATCAGGCTAGCACAATTTCTAAGAGGACTAGATTCAAAATATGATTAGATTCTTGTCTAAGGTGCTCTACTAGATTCATTTAGAGTAGAAACCAAGCATTTTCTTTGCCTAATTTTAAGTGCTTTCATAGAACAATGACATATCCCATCTAGATGAGCAGCCAGCTACTCCCTTTCAGGGTTAAGGACAGTCGGAGCAGTGGTGGCTCACACCTGTAATCCTAGCTTTCAGGAGGCTGAGATCGGAGGGCTGAAGTTCAAAGCCAGCCCAAGCAAGAAAGCCCATGAGATTGTTATCTCCAGTTAATCACCAAAAAAAGCTGCAAGTGGAGCTGTGGCTCAAGTGGCACAGTGCTAGTACCCGTTAATACAAAAGCTCAGGGACATATTCCAAGCCCAGAGTCCAAGGCCTAGGATGGGCACTTTAAATTTTAAAAAAAGAAAAAAGAAAAAAAAAAAGACTAAACTCCCTGTTACATCAATACCTTAACAAGTTCTCTATATTGTTTGCACATTTCAAATGAAAGTTCTTCTTAACTTAGAAACTTACTTAAACTATTGTAAACAGATACAAGATCAAAATCTCCCAGTTATGACGGACATCTTTAAAGGAATAGTAAGCTCTAACTTGGAGGTTAGAAAGAAATATGTACAAAGAGGGTAAGTATTAGAGTAAAAAAATGCAAATATCAAGGTCTGCTAGCCATGCAGAAACTCATCTAAAAAGAGAAAATCTTGGGAAGGTAGGAAAAGAGAGAAAGAGAGGGGGAGTAGAGAAAAAACAAATGCCCCCAGTGATAAAGTTGTCCAATGAGTCACTGAAGTACTCTCCAAGGTGCTTACGCAAACACTTAATGTTCAAAGCTTATAAAAAAATCTAATTTTAACCTTACCCCAATCCTTCTTAACATTTGACCACGAAATCCCAAACCTAAACACAACTGTTCAAAATAGAACATTTAATACTTACCTGGTCTTCAACTGTATGACTATACCCTCAGTTCTTGTGTTCATGCTAAAACAAACTTACTTATCATTTCTCCATTTTCAGAGTTAAAGGTCAATGAATTTTACAACTGCTGTTGCATTAATTCATGCCATTTGAAACTATAACGCCACAAACAACCTACTTTCATAAAACAACAATTTAATGACATAGCACTACCTAGAAGATCCACAGCCAACTCACCTCATCACCTTTTGCTGCAAAAACCTTTAAAACTTGATTTCCCATAAACAATCTCCTCTCGACCTACAAGATTAAGAGAGAGAAAAAAAGTGGTCTTGACTCAGAATAAGAAACAGATGTCCTACATTGCTAAGATATTCTCTTTAAAATATCCTTAATGGAAAGCATATTCACAGCTACTAGAAACAAGTTATTATATTATTTAAGGCTCAGTTCAGTTCACCTTAACACCTAGTATTGTGCCCTGAATTGTCCTGGGCATTACAAACATTATGGCGTTTGTTAACAGGCCATAATTACGTCTTTGAGGCGCTTATATGGATTAACATGAAACTAACGGCAATGTAGTACTGCAGACCAAGGTTATAGGGTATCAAAGAATGTGGAAGAAAGGAAGTAAAGTTGGTCATGAGGGTTTCAGGAAGTTGACATCTAAGCCTACATTCAAAAGATAAGGGGGAACTCACAGAGAAAAATGTCTGGGCATAAGGTCCCAGGCAGAGACAAAAGTCTGGAGTGACATAAAAGCATAGGACATTCAGGAAGATGCTGCTGGAATAGTGTGCCAGAAGAAAGATGGGAAATTAGATTAGAAATTTAATAGACCATGAAATCTCTTAGAAACAAAGTCAAATCAACTGGACTTCATCCTTAAGACAAGTGATGAGGCTCTGGTGAACTGCAGTGGACTCAAGTGAAGAACAGATTTTAGAAGGTCAAGATTGGAGAAAGTGAAAGTAGTTAAACCAAAAATGAGTACTGCAGGTCCTATTCACTCTTTAAATTCAATCAGCGTATCTAGCAGAATACAAGGTAAGTGAGGTATAAGAGCTCTACCAATATTTGATTAGAAAAAAAATACCTAACAGTTCCTGAAATCATAACCCATCCTCCTCTACCAAGATTAGCTTCTCTCTGATATATATAATCTGGAGCCTGGAGTTTATTTATAAGAACATGCCATGTGCTATACTAGGTGACATTTTGCTCCATTTTTTTTCTGTTCTCCCACCTCTAAACTAAAAAATTTGGAGCACTCTCACAATAAATAGCAGCTCAAGCCAGGTGCTGGTGGCTCACACCTATAGTCCTACCTACTCACAAGGCTGAGATCAGAGGATCAAGGTTTTGCCAACCTGGGCAGAAAAATCTTATCTCTAGTAAACTACTCAGAAAAAGCTGAAGTGGCACTGTGGCTTAAGTGGTAGAGTGCTGGCCTTGAACACAAAGAAACTCAGGGGGCTGGGAAGGTGGCTCAGTGGTAGAGCGCTTGCCTTGCATGCCTGAGGCCCTGGGTTCCATTCCTCAGCACCACATAAGCAAAAAGAAAAAAGCCGAAAGTGGCGCTGTGGCTCAAGTGGTAGAGCACTAGCCTTGAGCTGAAGAGCTGAGGGACAGAGCCCAGGCCCAGAGTTCAGGCCCCACGACCGGACCCCCCCCAAAAAAAAGAAAAGAAAAAAAAAGAAACTCAGGGACAGAGCCCAGGCCCTGACTTCAAGCCCCAGGACCAGGAAAAAAAAAAAAATAGCAGCTCAAGAAGTCTACCAGCTAGGGTATGAAACAGATATAAGTTCAAAGTCCTTTCATCTCCATATCTTTTCACTATGTGAAAATCAGTATTCTTTCAGGTATAATGCCACATGCCTATAATCCCAACACTTGAACACAGGTTCAAGGCCAACCTGGCTACATAGCAAGATAATGTCCCAAAATTAACAAAAAGAAGAAGAAAGAAAGAAAATCATCATTCTGAGGCATATTTGAATAATAATTTTAGTTTGCTATATTCATATAGATTTACTTGCCCTTTTACCTATTAGAATTTGTATATTCTCTATTAAAGAATAGCTAATGGCCAGTGCTGGTAGCTCATTTCTGTAATCCTAACCACTCAGGCCAGATCTGAGGATTAAGTTCAAAGCCAGCCAAGGTAGGAAAGTCTGTCAGACTCTTATCTCCAATTAACCACTAGAAAACCAGAAGTGAAGCTGTGGCCTCAAGAGGTAGAGCACTAGCCTTGAGCTAGAGCTCTAGCCTCAACTACACTCAGGACAACCCAGGCCCTGAGTTCAAGCCCCATGACCACTCCCCGCCCCAAAAAACTAATGGTATCTCTTCTTAATATACCTAAATGACTTAAAAAACAAAACAAAACAAAACGCCAGCCAGATATTTGGAAGAAATTCTGGTTAAATTCTTTCCTCTCTAATACTTCAATACTCAGAACACTTGATAACTTGTAAAGAAAGAAACTGAGCCAGGTGTCAGTGGCTCACTGGCTTACATCTGCTATCCTAGCTACTCAGGAAGCTGTGATCTGAGAAATCCTGTTCAAAATCAGCTCAGGCAGGAAAGTCTGTGAGACAGGAAAGACTGAGACTTATCTCCAAGTAAGCACCCAAAGAGCTGCAAAAGTATAGCTGTGGCTCAAATGGGAAAGCACTAGCCTTGAGCACAAAAGCTCAAGGACAGCGTCCAGGCCCCAAGTTCAAGCCCCAGGACAAGCACAAAAAAAGGAAATAATAAAAATAAAAGAAAGAGAAATTCAAAGGGTCTTGAAATTTAAAATAGTTCACAATTAAGAAGCAAAACAAAACAGAAATTAGGCTGGGAATATATCTCAGTGTAAAGCACTTGCTAAACATACAAGAAGCCCTGGGTTCCATCCCTAGTATCACAAAAACAAAACAAAACACAATAGAACAGCACTAGAGACATAAATCTAAAAGCATGAACATTTTTACATTAATTCAATCCAGAAATGTTACACTTGTCAACACCCAGTTTCAGGGAAGGGAGCATAATGTATCATTTTACTGGTTTAGAAATAATCAAGGAATGGAATTTTAATATGTGTGATTTTATTGCTTTGGAAATCATCACTAGTCTGTTAAAATGTGTATGCTCATATTTTATAATAGTTGCTATGGAAAACCCTGTGCTCTTAACATCATGTATCCTTTTGTTAAGCAATATATATGAGCACAAGTATGTAAGCTAGACTATTCAAAAATGAGTTTGTGCTTCTACTGAACAGATTACCACTAAAATAATAGCATAATCCAGTAAGAGACCTGGTTTAAAATCCATTTTTATCATCTTTCAGTTATATGACTTTAGGCTTGTTACTTAACAGTATGGAACCTCAAATTCTCAATCTAAAAGATGCCTATCATGGCACCTGTTAAAAGGGAAGTATGGATTAAATGAGAATTTATACAAAACATTTCAAACAGTCTAGAATACTGTAACTATTCAAGAGATAGTAGTTATTATACTTCATCTTCACTGTATTTGTCTGAGGTTGTACTTAACATAAAGTTGATTTTTAGCTTAAAAACAAAAAGGTGGACATGTTAAACAGTCACTCCTTTCTATGCCTACTTTTAAAATCTATTGTTTAAAAAGTTGGCTTACAAAACATTTCATGATTTTTATAAGTTAATTTTAGGGCTAGGCATATAGTGCATGGCTATAATCCCAGCTACTAAGAAGGTAGATACAGAAAGATTGTAATTTGAGGCCAGTCCTGGCACATTAGTGAGACCCTATCTCAAAAACAAGCTAGGATTAGTTGAGTCTAAGACTGGTCCCAGCTACTCTAGAGGTGGAGATAAGAAGATGGATGTCTCAGAGAAAATCAGCACCAGACTATCTGAAAAACAAAGACTGGGTCATGTGTGTGCAAGCAAAGCAAAGATACTTTTCAATAGGACGGTTTCTATATATTGGTCTAAATGAAGTGTCTGTTTCACTGAAGACTCATAATAAGCATTGCCTTTAATAATGATGTTATACATTTGTATTTGTTCTGAAGTAAACAATTCCTTTAGTAAATCTTTTCAGAGCATTGTTTAGGGACTCTCAACTTCCCGAAAGTATTTATTCGTACCAGTAAAATCCTACAGTTTAAGTAAATATTCTTTAATTTGTTTGGCTTATGAGTTTAAAGACATATGTAACAGTCTGGACAGTCATAAATACAATTCTCCACCTTGCTGTTATTCTAACACCAAAGGGCACAGGGAATATAAGCCAAAGCAACATGAACAAGCTCAAACTCAGAATACAGAGTCATAATTATTTTCATTACAATTCTCATGTGAGCTCTCCAATTAAAAACTCTCTGTCCCTATAGATAAACTGCACACAAAAACGTAATATATATGTCTATAAATATAGATAGATAGATAGATAGATAGATAGATAGATTTGCTCCAATTTATTTCTTTGCTACCTACCTCAAGAATTTAATCTAGATCTCTTAGAATCTCTGAACAATTCTTTCTAAGAGTATAAAATATCCCACAATGAATTATTTCATTTCCTATTGTGTTGATTTTGTGAACCCAGCTTTGGTGCCTAAAAAACGCGTGACTTATGGATGTTTACATCCTCTAACACTACAATGGACATTGAGAAGAGTTGATGCAAATTCAAAAACTCTCAAACATTCTGTTACACATGACAGTTTGGAAAAACGCAATACAATAGCAAAGAACTAAGTGCTGTTTCCTTAAGGGGACTGGAAGCCATGCAAGTCAGCAATGGGAAGAATGATTAAGTTGAATCTACTCTTCTAATTTATTCTGAGACTTCTCTAAATTTTGACTTTTCTCTCCAAAAAAAAATCAAAGATACCAACACCAACCCCCAAGCAACATTTTAGAAATAAGTATACATTATAAATAAAATACTCAATCAAAAGCACTACATTTCAAGTGCTTTTTTTTTTCACATTTTGTTCACAATCGCATTGTAATTGCTGTACCTGAGAAGATTTACAAAATCCCAAAACAGAGAAGCACTTTCCATCTGATTTATATTTCATTTGTTCCTCATCCACTTTAGAGAAAGGAACTATATCACTTCCATAGCGGAACCCTAGAGAACAAGAGAAGAGCATCTGTTAGGCATATGGGGCCTCATTTTCTCCAAGCTGAAATGAGCTCTGTGCTACATTAACAACACATGCACATTCCACAGCCAGTCTCCATCTTCTAGTCCCTGGAATCAAAATTACTGCCCCTTGTGATCAAGGAAAAAAGCACAACCCACATATATACAATATCTAATCCATTAAAATCTAATTACATTTTTTAAGTAGCATCTTCTGTAACTTAAGTTACCTTACCAACTACTCAACCTAGATTAACAACTGTAGCAAATGCAACAGACTAGTTATACTCCAAAGATAAACCATGGCTGACTAAAGTACAAGCATGATTTGTCAACATAATAAAAACACATTTATCCAGAAATCTGGAGATTCACAAGAGAAACCACTCCTAGGAAATTTTCAGAACAAAATATTTTTTAAAAATAATAATAAACAAATTTGTTTTTTCCCTTCCGCTCCCCAAATTATACCAACATCAAATACAGTGAAAACAGGCGTTATACCGTGGGGGAGGGACATAACAAAGCAACAAAAAATTCACGTATAAATACGTTAGAAACAATAGCAAGAAAGAAAAAAATCACTTGTGTCCTTATCTTGGTTGACCCATTGCAACAACGAGATGTACAAGACGCTATATTGAAAAACGAACTTTACAATTTAGGTGGGGTGATATAGTTGTGGAGATGGGAGGGAAGAGATGGTAGGAGAAAAACAAAGGAGGAGGCAACAATATTTGATAAGAAATGTATTAATTACCTTGCTCTTGTGATTGTAACCCCTCTGTACAGTATTTTCACAATAAAAAACTTATTTAAAAAATAATAATAATAAAAACATCTGCTAGAGAGTCAAATACCTAACAGAAGAAGCCAAAGCTCCTCTTCTGTTTAGAAATTTTCAGTTAATGGGACATGTATTTTTCTCCATTTATTGCTGGGTTTTCTCCCCCAAGACACACACTTTTTAGAATATTTATATAGACTATTGGCTTCAAAAAACAAAAAAAGACAAAAATTTCAACCCCGCCTCTTCCTTATGCAGTATCTATTGTATATTTTGAGGAAAAGGATCATCAAAATGCAAAGATGTGGGCTTTAGGTAAATGCACATCTTTATTCTAAGAAACAAAACGAAAAAGAACTTGTAGAAAAGAAAAGTGAGAGAAGGGGTGGGTTAGGAGCAATGGGTGACAATGTTGTCAGACACTTTGTATTCATATACTGTTTTTTATAATGGGAACGTCTTTGTACAACTACTTAAAGATAATAAAAAATTTAAAAAGAAGAACTTGGAGTCTGGAGGCAGATTCTTCTTCAATCTAGTGCATCACGTGTTCCTGTTAGTCTAATGATGCCATGTGTTTAATTAAAAAGAAACGTGTTGCAATTTCATGTACATATTTTTTAAAAAGACAGCAACAAAACATATGGCACATGATTAAGAGCTGTATGTAAACCAAATGTTTTTCTAAATTTTCTTTCATCAGTCATTTATTTCAGTTGTTTAATCGGACAACTTGAAAGTTCAAATTAAGATGTGGTTCTTCTATGTAAGGGAAAATAACTCTAACTTTGTACATGGCAAAATATACAAGAGACTATAGCATACAGTCACATCTCTTTGCAATGTGTGCACACTAATTCCTCTGTGTAACTTTAAAAGTTACTGAATGTCCTTCCACCTTGTTTCCATATCTATAAAATAGAATAGCAAGACTGCCTACTTCATTAAGTGGCTATGACAATTAAATGACAAAAAGCAGGCTGTCAGTTAGATATACTCTAAAAGCTCTACTTCCCTGCTCTTAGTCTTTTTCTTCCTTCCTTCCTTCCCTCCCTCCCTCTTTCCCTTCCTTCTTTTTCTTTCTCTCTCTGTCTCTCCGTCTCTCTCTCTCTCTTTCTTTCCCCCTGGTTCTAGGGCTTAAACTCAGGGCCTGGGTGCCCTGAGATTTTATGCTCAAAGCTAGTTTTCTACCCCTTAAGCCACAGCTCCACTTCTGATTTTTTGTTGGCTAACTGAAGAGTCTCATGGACTTTCCTGCCTGAGCTGGCTTTGAACTGTGATCCTCAGCTCTCAGCCTGTTGAGTAGCTAGGATTACATGTGTGAGCCATTGGTGCCTGGCTTTCATCCTAGCTTTCAATCATGCTATTCTTACACTATAGACCAGTACTTAGAACAGGTATAAACTGATGGAGTCATGATTCTAACCCAATTCTTCTAATTCTAAATTTCATGTTCTGTGCAACTAAATTGAGATTAAAAAATAAAAATAGTAGAAATTTTGGAGTGTTAACTACATCCCACCAGGAGAAAGGAATCATAATCACCACCACCTTTAAGTTACTGTAGTCCCTAAACAATGAACTATACACAATGAAATACAGTGTCATAGATGTAATTTTTTCAAGACTAGCAAATCAAAACTATACAAGGTAATACATAGCCTGGCAATAACTTTACCTAACGATCCTGGTGGTTGTTTTAACTATCATTTGGGATCTTATAACTTCTAGTTCTGGGACATTCAGAAATTCTCAATTACTTTCAAAGTTGTTGGGACAAAAATACTACATAGGAACTGGATGCTGGTGGGCTCACACCTGTAATCCTATTCAGGATTACTCAGCCATTCAAGAGGGTGAGAGCCTAAGGAACTAAGTTTGAAGCCAACTCCCACAGAAAAGTCCATGAGATTTTATCTCCAAAATTACCAGCAAAAAGCATGGCTGGAGGAATGGCTCATATGGTAGTATAGAATGATAGCCAAGCAAGTACTGAAGCCCTGAGTTCAAACTCAAGCACAAACAAAATAAATAAGTAATATATATAATAGTATATATGGTAAACAAAAATTATATATTACCCTATATTATATATAGTAACATTATATTACATATTAGTATATAATATCATATAATACATAGTATAACAGCAATAATATAGTAATATGTATTAATATGTATTATATGTTATATATATAAGATAATAGGTACAATTTTGAAGATCTTAGAAAGCACAAACCATAATCACACAAATATTTTCTTATTCCACTAAGGTAGCATAACTAGTAGGATCCAAAACATGAAACTGGCACTTGGAAGAATAGTTATCATGGAAGTAAAAATTAAAATAAAGGAAACAAACAAGCAGAAAAAAAAACCTCCCCTTACTACCTTGTTTTAGCCAGTTTAGCTATTCTCATAGCATGGGAGTTTCAACTAGAATAAACTTACTACACCCTGTCACTCCAGAAGAATGCAAGCTTCAGTTACCCTCCTAGGAACCATCCTGCCCACTGATGGATAGGACCAGGATCTTACTGTCCCCTCAGAGTTGCAGCTCTGTAACTCAGAGGAGTATCTCCAAGTGCACATTAGTATAAGTCTTAACCTGCCTTACACCATCTTGAAGACAATCTCTTTTAAGCAAAAGTGCAAACTCTTCCCAGCATACCTTGAATAGTATCCTCTTTGGAAACTTCTGTTTCATCATCATCATTTAAGCAATAAACTGTTTCTCTTCGTACATCTTCTTTCTTAAGGGTTCTTGCATCCACAATTATCCAAGTCTTTCTAACTTTTGTCTGTATAATCTTATCTCCAAATGACAAATAAATGGAAAAATAAGGAAAGACTGGATTCTCGTTGATAGCAGATGAAAACCTAATGTGCTCTCTCGTTCAAAAACAAACACTCGGCACAATTACTCTAGTTATATTGTTTTGAAGTTTTTTTTCTTGCCTATTATGCAAAACCTTAGTTTAGTTCCTAATAAAAACATCTTATAATTATTTCTACTGCAGATCCCTCCCCCACAGTGTAACCCCGCTTTCACTATATTTGATGTCAGTATAACATGTGGAGGAGATGGGGACAAACAAGTCGTTTAAGGATTCAGGTGGACCTGTTGCAACAATGAGAAGTACAAAATGTCATGTCAAAACCAGCTTTACAATGTCGGTGGGGGGGGGGGGGGGGGGTGTAGGGAGGTGAAGGGTAAACAAAGGAGGAGGATGCAATGCTTGGTAAGAAATGTATGCATTATCCTGCCCATGTAATTGTAATCCCTCTGTACAGTATGTTCTCAAATAAAATAAAATTAAATTAAAAAAAAAAAAGATAATCTGCAGATAATTATTAATACCTGGATAAATATACTCCTTATACAAAACCCTCAGACTGTCTAATAAAGGGGACTGTATACTATTTTTCCAATAAAAAGAAATCAATAGATTTTGAGAAGAAAATCAAAATAGTAAAGGAGAGACTATTCATATATCTAGGGACACTATTCTAAGCCTTGATAGAACCCAAATAAATATTTAGCTCCAAGTTTCTCATGATATGGGCTGGGAATGTGGCTTAGTGGTAGAGTGCTTGCCTCACATGCATGAAGCACTGGGTTGATTCCTCTATACCACATAAACAGAAAAGGCCAGAAGTAGCGCTGTGGCTCAAGTGACAGAGTGCTAGCCTTGGGCAAAAGAAGCTCAGTGACAGTGCTCAGGCCTTGAGTTCAAGCCCCAGGACTGGGGCAAAAAAAAAAAAAAAAAAAGCCGTGAGCCAGTGGCTCACACCTGTAATCCTAGCTACTCAGGAGACTGAGATCTGAGGATCACGGTTCAAAGCCAGCCAGGGCAGGAAAGTCCGTGAGAGTCTTATCTCCAATAACCCACTGGAAAACTGGAAGTGGCTCTGTGGCTCAAGTGGTAAAGAGCTCGCCTTGAGCTGAAGAGATGAGGGACAGTGCCCAGGCCCAGAGTTCAAGCCCCATGACTGGGAGGGAAAAAAAAAAAAGATTCTCATGATATATAATGTGTTTGAAAGAAAGTACTGAAATACATGTTTTTATATTTATTTTTTATACTGAAAAAAATTTCTGACCAGGCACTGGTGGCTCACCACTGTAATCCTAGCTACTTAGGAGGCTGAGATCTGAGGATCACAGTTCAAAGCCAGCCCAGGCAGAAAAGTCCGTAAGACTCTTATCTCCAATTAATCACCAGAAAACCAGAAGTGGCGCTGTGGTAGAGCACAAGCCTTGAGCTGAAGAACTCAGGGACAGCACCCAGGCCCAGAGTTCAGGCCCCAGGACAAAAACAAAACAAAACAAAACAGCTGGGCACCGGTGGCTCACACCTGAAATCCTAGCTACTCAGGAGGCTGAGATCTGAGGATCGCAGTTCAAAGCCAGCCTGGGCAGGAAAGTCTGTGAGACTCTTACGTCCAATAAACCACTCAGAAAACTGGAAGTGGCACTGTGGCTCAAGTGACAGAGTGCTAGCCTTGGGCGAAAGAAGCTCAGTGACAGTGCTCAGGCCCAGAGTTCAAGCCCCACGACCAACAAAAGAAAAAAGAAAAAAAAAAAGAAAGAGACAGAGAAAGAAAAAAAGAAAGAGAGAGAGAGAGGATGGATGGAAGGAAGGAAGGAAGGAAGGAAGGGAAGGGAAGGAGGGAGGGAGGGAGGGAGGAAGGTACGGGAAAGGGAAAGGGAAAAGGAAAAGGAAAGGAAAGGAAAGGAGGAAGCTCATGTTGGGGCTTGGGAAAGACATGCTTACTCATACTAGACTTTCATCAAATAATCATCACCAGCAACTCACTCTTGAAACTGTGCTATTATGTACAAATGTACATGTATTACAAAACGCAATTTCACACTAACAGCTCACCAGTTTTTGACATTTTAGATGCTACTACTCTCAGATCACTAATAAGTAAATTAGGTGTGAAGAAATCTTCAAACTCTGAACTCTGGTATGTCAACTACATTCCTGACATATTACAATGACAAGTTAATTCATTATTTTTCTTCCAAAAAGACAGAAAAGCCCAAAGAGAAAGAAGAAAAACTCAAACTATATTATACACAATTCTTAAAACTTCTCTTGCTAGCATGCCTTTTTATATAAAAAGCTAAACAAAGATTAAATAAAAAGGGAGAACTGCCAGAGAAGCAGTAATTATGCTCTGAATAACCCACACATGAATTGCCAGCTCCTTACATAAGCATCTTGATCTGCTCTAACATTATTTTTTAAAATGTCTACTTGTTACTTACCGATTTATAAGCCACAATCCTTATAGACAAATTGGAGCCAATGGTCAGTTGGCAGGGCCAGGGCATGGAACGCCTCTCAATTTTCTTAAAGGCATTCAGTTGTCGCAGGCTCTCACTTTATAAATAAAAATATAAAATGAAACATGGCTAGATGATGATGCACTTACTTTTCCTGAATGAGAAATGAACTGTTGATGATTATAAAGAGAACAGCAGGGGATGGCAGGAAAATGACAACCAAAAGTTGAGAGAGAGCCAACACAAGTTGGCTTAGAAGGGAGTCAAACTGGGATTTACTATACTGACAGGTGAAAAGGAACAGCTTTATCTTTATTCAACCGTTTCTTTAACTCTGCCAGTGGCTCTTAATGTTTTTTTTAGGACCAAGACACCTTGGAGCATATGGTAAAAATGCATTTACAAATAAGTTGATACACAATGTAAAAGGTTCACAAAAAACAACAGACCTAAGGATAAGAACATCTACTCTGAGTGGGGAGGGAAGGGATGGTAGGGGAAAAACAAAGGAGGGTGTAAGAATGCTCAATAGGAAATAGACTCATTACCTTGCTCATGTAACTGTAACCCCTATGTACAATATCTTTACAATAAAAATATATTAAAAGAAAAAATAAGAGGCTGGGAAAGTGGCTCAGTGATAGAGCGCTTGCCTTGCATGCCTGAGGCCCTGGGTTTGATTCCTCAGCACCACATAAGCAATAAGAAAAAAAGCCAGAAGTGGCACTGTGGCTCAAGTGGTAGAGCACTAGCCATTCAGGCCCCACAACCAGACCAAAAAGAAAAAAGGAAAAAAAAGAAAAAACAAAAAGAACATCTGCTCTGGATGTCAGAGGAGCCCCACTAGAACCTTCTTGCTCAAAACACGGACAATTCATTTCTTAAAGCCAATTGTTTTGCCGGGTGCCGGTGGCTTACGCCTGTAATCCTAGCTACTCAGGAGGCTGAGATCTGAGAATTGTGGTTCAAAGACAGCCCAGGCAGGAAATTCCCTGAGACTCTTATCTCCAATAAACCACCAGAAAACCAGAAGTGGCACTGTGGCTCAAGTGGTAGAGTGCTAGCCTTGAGCAGAAGAGCTGAGAGACAGTGCCCAGGCCTCCTAGAGTTCAAGCCCCACAACTGACAAAAAAAAAAAACAACAACAACAACTAATTCTTTTAAATAAAAGATAGTATTTGTTTCTATATGCATACAAAACAAAGTTAAGTAACAACTACTAGGGGATAAAGGAAATAGTCTATATTTAGTCTTTTAAAGGAAAAAACTCTATATGTTTTTTTATTAGTGAGAAGGAGGACTGGAGGAGGGAAAGGTACCGCTTCATTTAAACAAAAGTAAAGATCACTTCTATTTTTACCAGTTACCCATCAAATCCAACAGAGAAGATTATAGACAAGGTAGTATCTGTGGTATTCATTAAGATAAAGGGCAAAGGAATTAATGACCAACTATACTTACCACACAACCCAGGCCTTACGGTTGATTTTCTTGGTACACATGAAGTGCAGATATAGGAAGACGTAGAGAACTATCTTACATTATCCACTGAGTTATGGACAGGGAGATTTCAAAAGACTATTTCTTCATTAATTTATAACAAATAGTAGAACAGATAACACATCTGGCATACTGCTACCAAAACTTATACTACAGCTAGGCTATGAATTTGTTGGGGAACAAATGGGTCTGAGACAGGTCAACTCTGTCTCATAAGACATTACTAATCCAAGCATGAGTCAGGCCTAAAACCTTGATGGACTATGGATTCCATTGTAGGGAAAAATTCTAAATATCAGAGTATAAGATATAACGTTCAAGAACAGCCAGATTCATTCTGCAGTAGATTTTACCAGGTAAAAGTCAAGTTGTCTTCCTAAGATCCTCACAGGGATAAATCTGTTCAAGTGCTGCTCAGTACAATCCACTTGTAATTATGCCTGCCCAATAGACAACTAAGCACTTGAAATATGACTGCTGTGACTGGTGGATCAAATTTCAAGATTTAATTTTAATTAACGCAAATAGTCTCATGTGTCTACTGGCCACTATATTGGATGGCAAAGTGCTTGTCCACACCTTCATGGCAGACCCAAAGTCAAAGTTGCTTCAAATTGCTAGGACAATGCACAACAAATTCCCTGTTTGCTACGCTCTACAGAGGAAAAAAAAATTTTAAATAGTAATTTATATAGGCCTATAACTTTTCTTCATGTTACTATGGTTAATATGCTAGCTTAAGGCATATTCCCAAAATTGAAAGAGAAATAGCACACAAACATAACTGCACAGACTGTGACAAGAACACAAATTATTCCAAGATACTTAAGGATTCCTATTGAGTTTTTAGCAATCACTAGGAAATTACAACCCCATGTATAAACTTTCCATTTACCTATAATTTGTCAAGGGGGTTCATATTTACAAAATGAAGATGTACTACTTGTCAATTATGGCTCACCAGAAAAAAAAATTTTTTTTTTTGATCAGTCATAGAGCTTGAACTCTGGGCCTGGAAGCTGTCACTCAGCTCTTCATCTCAAGGCAAGCTCTCTACCACTTGAGCCACATCACCACTTCCAGTTTTCTGGTGGTTAAGTCTCACGGATTTTCCTGCCCGGGCTAGCTCTGAACTGAGATCCTCAGATCTCAGCCTCCTGAGTAGTTAGGATTACAGGCGTGAGCCACCGGTGTCCAGCACCAGAAATATTTAAAAACATAATTAAGAAATAACTTAGAGCAGATATATATTACAGCTACTTAAAAATATTCTAGTTGCTGAATGTTTACTTTGAGAAGTTGGCCTATACTGCTTTTATTTTGTATATTGATTATTAAACTAGAATTTATTTATGAACATCAAACAGTACTAGCCCTAAGAATCTGAGTTCACACAAGCCTGTAATCCCAGCAACTCAGGATGCTGAGATCAAAGAATCATGGTTCAAAGCCAGCATGAGAAAAAAAAAGTCCAAAACATTCTATCTCCAATTAACCAGCAAAAATCCCAACTGGAAGCATGGTTCAAGTGGTAGAGTGCCAGCTAGGAGCAAAAACTCTAGCAAGAGTACAAGGTCCAAGTTCAAATACCAACACATATACACACACAGGGGAGACCTGTGACTGAAAGAAATTTATGTAAGATTAAAAGTTGTCACCAGTGTCTTCACTTCTTACCTGAAGGAATAAATTTCTTCCAGTCCATCTTCACCTTCTAAAGACATCATCATCTTTTCTACCATCTGAATACCTTCTTTTTGCTGCTTAGTAAATCCTTTTAGAGGAAAGGACGGTTCAGAGTGGTCCAAGCTGAAGTTGCCATCTCCTCTGTCTCCAGTTCCATCTTTCTTGCCGATGGAGAAAGGCAAACTATCCAGAAAAGACCAGCAATAATTAAAAAGACAAGCTCTGATGCTAAATAATCTTGTTACTGTTACCATTAGCTATGAGAAAACAAGCATGTCAGTCAACTCACCAAACTTCATATTTTTCATCTACCAAATGACTCATCTACCTCACCCAATATTGTTTCAATTTCAAGTGACTAAAACTCCTTTAACTTAGTAACAGGGAGAAAAGGATATTTACCAGCTTACATAACAAAATAATTGAAAAAGCAAGCATGGCCTGAGGGTCTCAAATGCCAGAATATCTGACACTCTCCATATGTTCAACCATATTTCACCTTTATTTGAAATCAATCAGTAAACCAACCATGCACCAAGTAATTATTAATGAATTCCTATACAGAAATCAGAAAGTTACTTGATATAAGGAAAACTAAACTTTATTATGTTTTACTCCAGTTATCTGAATTGAAACCAAAATTAGGTTGGTATTAATAGTCTTAAAAGCTATTAAATAATCAATATATAAACTGAAAAAACCACCAAAATGTTTTATGATAATACTTTATATGGGTAATATAAATGCTTTCATGAACACAATCCCATTTAATCCTTACATTAAAATATAGATTTCTATCTCCACTTTTTTTAAAAGAAACTGAAGGAGTTTGGCCAAATTGAAATAATTTGGCCCAAACCACATAGCTAATAAAGAACAGAGCAAACAATCACCTGATGGAAGGGCATGGTTCTTTCCACTGTAGCACACACTATCTTACTTTATCCCTGGAAACTAAAAGCTAAATAAAGGCTCTAATTTCTTGGAGAGCACTCAACATTGTCTGTGGTCATTCCAAATAGGATGAATATTTTTTAAAGCAATTTCTCTATCATTTCACTTCCTGTATTTAAAATGAGGCTTTTGTTTGTATGTTTTCTACATATAAGCATAATAGATTTGAGTGGCCCACATTTCCTATCAGATATAAAGCTCCTCAGGAGCAAGGAATAGCACATAGGGCTTACTTTAGGTGTTTGGTTTTGCCATAGCATTAACCAGAAGAGAAAAATGACATGAAAAAATAAAGTCAAAATTTTATCTTACGGCTGGGAAGGTGGCTCAGTGATAGAGCACTTGCCTTGCATGTCTGAAGCCCTGGGTTCGATTCCTCAGCACCACATAAGCAAAAAGGAAAAAGCCGGAAGTGGCGCTGTGGCTCAAGTGGTAGAGCGCTAGCCTTGAGCTGAAGAGCTGAGGGACAGTGCCCAGGCCCAGAGTTCAGGTCCCATGACCGGACCCAAAAAAAAAAAAAATTTTATCTTAGAAAAGCAGTTATAGTAGCAGTTCTTTCTAGTCCCTATTTGATCAGAAGTAAGTTTCTCAATAGTCAGTAGAAACTGAAAACTAAGTTCAAGGACCAAGCAATCTAATCCAACTAGAACAATCAATCATATATGACTATATCAAACAACAAAATCATAAACTCTTTATGTTGGTGGGTTTTAACACAAGAAAACCTATTTCCTAAAAACAATAACAACAAAAACACAACTAGTCAAATAGTGAGCAATAGATGAAAAGGTTGTCTCTCTTTTCTACACACTTTGCTGTGAGACACACACCAAGAAATAAACAGATAAGAAGCTTCCTATTAAAAGAGCAGTATGGTATGCTTCAGCCTTTCAGAAGCAACTTGAGTTCATGAACAAGGAATAGGAAACAGAAACTAAGCTGGGATTCTGAAGTACTGAAAAAAATAATTCAATTAGAAGTGTCACTTCAAAAGTACTTAATCTCTCTGAAGTACTATCTTAAGTACCAGTTTGATGGAGTATTCTGAACTTCTTTTCCTATAGTCCTACAGAAAGGAGATGTCCCTTAACAGTCTTAAGAGGTGTATGTGTGACAGAGAGAAAGAGAGAGAGAGAGAGAAAGAGAGAGAGATTCTTAATTCCCTATGCTAGACATTTTAAGAAGCCAAAAGCTTACCTCTAGCTACTGACATCTCAGTTTGGAAAAATGAATGTCCTAGAAGATTGATAATTCAACATCTTATGTTATCACTCTATTTTCACCAAAAATGGAACAAAAAATAGGTTTCATAGTAGGATTAGTGTGTTGAAAAGAAATTTTTTATTCGGGTGTGTAAGACAGAAAAAGTAATTCACAGGAGGGGACATTCAGGTTATTATGAGAGAATGGACTCTCCCTAAAAAATTGTGAAATACGCATTTTCTTCCCAAATTTGTTGCCCATCTCTAAGTTATAAAAGTACATTGTATTTTATGTATGTTACTGCATCCTTTAGATCTGAGGAAATGCTAAATATAAATATCTATGAATGGAAAAAGTACTCCTAGCTTGACACCTTTGTTTCCCAAATCTGATGAGCTTGGTTCTCTGAGCTGTTTAAGAAAGTATCAATCTGATAACTACTGCATAAAGTTTTTACTTAAATGTTTTGTGCTGTTTTTACTATTCAAAGCACAAAACAATGATTTGCTACTGAGCTCAATTATTCTGTATCATAGTGACTCTCACCTCCATGAAAACAGAATAATCAGTAAAGCTCAATTCTTAGTCATCTGACCAATCCCAACTATGCTACAGAGGAAGATTCCCATGAACCAAGCATTTGGCAAGGTCCCCACTCACTACATTAGAGATAACAAGATTTTTCTGCATACATGATTCTTAGGATCTTACAAGAATTGCAGAGAAATGCCAGATTTCTTCAGGTTTTGAATTATAATATCCACTTGGTCTTTGCTGAACGGACTGCTCAGGTCAGTGAACACTTCAATATGCCTCTTCTCAAACTTCTTTCCTCTGAAATGAGGAGTTATCATATTAATAACTCATTCTCCTGAATTAATTTGTACAAATTCAAATAAAACTTGGTCAATGAGCAAAGATAGGCTACAATTACTAAAGGATTAGATTCTAAAAGTCTACATATTTTGGGTGCTCAGTTGAGTTCCTATCAAACACATAATCAATCCTGGCAGACGTCCTACTTAAAACATCTTGGGAGGAAAATTGCCAACATCATAAAAATACATGTTTCTGAATCCCTAACTCAAAATACTAACACTTAAAGATGCAATAACTGATGTAAAGATCCCTGTCCAGTCTTCATGTGTACAAAGTGTTAACAAGGAACTCTTCTACAGTAACAGAACTTCAGTCTATCAGGTTCATGTTCTAAACATCTGCTCCAATTCTATGCACAGAATTAGTGGCAGGATGTGCCATAGGACTGTACAAAAAGTAAGAAATAAGAATATAGATGCAGGCCTGGGATTTTAGTACAAACGTCTTCCCAAACAGCCAAGGGGTGTGTGTGTGTATGCATGTGTGTGCAAAGATACACGTTTTCAAGGCAGAGTAACTAAGTAAATAGTGACTTCAAAAGTTGCTCAGAGTTAGTATATACAAAATATCACTTATGGATCATACCATTTAGAACTATTGGAAGTTTTTGGTCATTAGTTTTAAGTCAAATAATAAAAACTGAAATAAACCAAACGCTTGTTTTTCCCAGAGATAAATTTCTACCAAATGTAGTATTTTTTCGCTTTAAACTTTTAAAAACTAGAAGTTGAAGCTGGGCACTGGTGTCTGGTGGTTAGCCTACAATCCTAGTTACTCAGGAGGCTGACATCTGAAGATCACAGTTCCAAGCCAAACCAGCCTAGGCAAAAAAGTCTGTGAGACTCTATCTCCAATAAACTACTCAAAAAAATCTGGAAGTAGAGCTCTGGCTCAAGTGGTAGAGTGCTAGCCCTAAGTGAAAGAAACTCAAGGATAGTGCCTAGACGCCTAGACCCTGAGTACAAGCCCCAGGACCACCACACACACACACACACACACACACACACACACACACACAAGAACCCAAAAAACCCACTCACACACACACACACACACACACACGAACCCAAAACACACACACACACACACACACACACACACACACACACACACACACACACACACACACACACACACACACACACACACACACACACACACACACACACACACACACACCAAGAACCCAAAAAACCCACTTAGAAGTTGAACCACTGAATTCTATCAGATATCCATTTTGCCATATAAACATATTACCTGTTTAACAATAAATCACAAAGTACAACCAACCCATATAGTTTTAGCAGAAAGGCTCATTTCTAGCTTTTTTCAGATGAAACACTTACACAGTTTCACGCTGAATCACATCCATGCACACGATGAGGGCATCCAGAACTCTGCTAGTTAAGGGTAGTGAGAGCACCAAACAATCCCTGCATGCCCAAATTTGTATTCCCCATCTCCACAAACAACAACTTTTTATTTTTATTCCAGAGGAGCTGGGAATTGTAGACATTGGACTATGTGATAACCAAAAAAAAAAAACAAAACACCTAAACTACAAGCACTTACTCAAGTGCCTTTCTTCCAAAAATTTACTCATTAACCATATTCAGAAATGTTATAGACCCAAAGTATAAATCCTGACACACATAGTATGACAAAGAAAATAAGCAAAAGGTAATCTCACATATTTCACTCATTAAACCAAAAAATGCTGTTTAATAGTACCTTTAACTTATTTTTGGTGATCACAGTCCATTCTCAAATATGAAGCCTTAATGCAGCATTTATAATTCACTTCCAACACAACAGCACCTCCCAGTGACCAGAAATGGTACTAATTTTGTGAAAGATGCCCAAACCTTGAAAATTAGTTTAGGGGCTGGGAAGGTGGCTGAGTGGTAGAGCAAATGCTTCATGAGGCCTTGGGTTCGATTCCTCAGCACCACATAAGCAAAAAGAAAAAAAGTCAGAAATGGCGCTGTGGCTCAAGTGGTAGAGCACTAGCCTTGAGCTGAAGAAGTGAGGGACAGTGCCCAGGCCCAGAGTTCAGGCCCCACGACCAGACACAAAAATAAATAAATAAATAAATAAAATTAGTTTAGATGGGGAAAAAATTTAGTTTAGATGTTAGAAATTGGAAATCTCAGTTTGGATATTAACCTAATTTTCACCCAATAACATCCTCCATTAAAGGGCAGAAAGAGCTAAAACTATAATCTTTTAACAAGTTTTTTTTATATTTTCAAATATTTTGGTTTTACTTCTAAACTTGTTTTGTTTGTTTTTGTGCTGGTCCTGGGCTTGAACTCAGGCTCTTTGGCTCAAGGGTAGTGTTCTACCACTTGAGCTACAATTCTATTCCTGGTATTTTTGGTGTTTGGAGGTAAGAGTCTCATGGACTTTCCTGCTTGGGCTGGCTTTGAAACATGATCCTCGGATTTCAGGCCTTCTGAGTGCCAGGATTACAGGCATGAGCCACAGGCACCTGGCACTTCCACACATTTTTAACCAGAACCAGAACCAAACCCTTTATAGATGGTCAATATGCATGTACATTTCCTATCATTTTTCCTTACCTTTAGCTCTCAATCCCTTTATATCACTAATAAAAAGAAAGAGCAAGTAGAAGACCTGAAGTCGGGCATCCAACCTGATTAAATCTTAACACATATTACCTCTCTCTCCAGAGCAAAAATCCCCAGTTGCTCCGAGCTGGGACTCTGAGAGAGCCCCCCCAGATTGTATTACGATTTCTCAGATTAAAGGAAATTTCTTCCATCTTCTCTGGTTAAAAAAGGATACAGTCAGCTTGTTGAGAACCTGGTTGGATTTTGTTTTCAATGTCCTCCAGCAAGTCAAAATCTGGTAGCATCAGGTGTCTGTGCACTGTGATGTTTTGATACTGGTCCCCTCTAGCAAGGCTATTCTCAGTGCCATCTGTACCAAACAGGACTAAGGCAATCTCATCCTTGCTCTCAGAAAACACCTACAGAAGAGTATAAGAAGGCTGAAAAACATATTAGAACCACTTGAGGCACTAAGATATCTAAGCTTCAGGAAGTATGTCCCTAGAGTCACAGAAATAGATGAAACTTGGGTCTTATTGACAATGACAAGGTTGTCTTTATTTCAGTTCAAGTAAGTGTAAGGGAATGGGTAAGGAGTAAATGCTCTTGATGACTTCATGGCAAGGTAGAATCTCTTTTTTTTTCTTTCCTGTCAGTTATGAGGCTTGAACTCAGGGCCTGGGTGCTTTCCTTGAGCTCTTCAGCTCAAGGCGAGCACTTCACTACTTAAGCCACAGTGCCACTTCCAGTTTTTTGGTGGTTTATTAGAGATAAGCGTCTCACAGACTTTCCTGCCCAGGCTGGCTTTGAACCATGATTCTCAGCTCTTAGCCTCCCGAGTAGCTAGGATTACAGGCCTGAGCTACGGATGCCTGGCTAGACTCTAACTCATTGTTGTTGTGTTATTCTTTGGTGCTGGTCCTAGGGCTTGGGCACTGTCCCTGAGCTTTTGTGCTCAAGGTTAGAACTCTACCACATTGAGCTAAAGCTCTATTTCTAGATTTTTAGTAGATAATTGGAGATAAGATGTCTCACAGACTTACCGTACTGGCTTTGCACTACAATCCTTCCTCATATGTCAGCCTCCTGAGTAGTTAGGATTCTAGGTATAAACTACCAATGCCTGGACAAACTTAATTATTAATGAAAACTAATTATGGATAATTTGAAGACGTTAGCCTGTCTTTCTAGAATATTTATTCAAAGTTACCATTTCCATTCAAAGTAACAATTTTAAAAGACCAATAGTTATCCAGGCTCTTGCCTGGCTGAAATTTGAGGACTTCAATTCAAAGCCAGCCCAGGCAGGAAAGTCCATGAAATTTTTAACTCCAATAAACCAACAAAAGGCCAGAAGTGGAGATGTGGTAGAGCTCCAGCCTTGAATGAGAACGCTAAGCATAGCACCTGAGTCCTGCGTTCAAGCCCAGTATCAACACTCACACATACACATGCACAAATAACCTGCAAGTTAATATTCCATATTCCAGACATTTCATGGAAGTTACATATGGCTTAGAGAGACTCATGTACACAAGGAGACAGTGAACAAGGAAGCTTATACTTCAGCAATGTTTATAACAGAGCAAAACATGTAAGCTACCCATCCATCAGCAGAACACAAAAATACACTGCAGGGGCTGGGAAGGTGGCTCAGTGGTAGAGCGCTTGCCTTGTATGCTTGAGACCCTGAGTTCGATTTCTCAGCACCACATAAGCAGAAGAAAAAAAAAAGCCGGAAGTGGTGCTGTGACTCAAGTGGTAGAGTGCTAGCCTTGAGCTGAAGAGCTGAGGGATAGCGCCCAGGCCCAGAGTTCAGGTCCCATGACTAGAACCTCCCCCCCCCCCCCAAAAAAAAAATACACTGCAGAGCCAGTCACTAGTGTCTCAGGCCTGTAATCCTAGCTACTTAGGAAGCAGAGATCTGAGGATCCTGGTTCAAAGCCAGCTTAGGCAGGAAAGCCTGTGAGACTCTTATCTCCAATTAACTACCTGCACCCCTGAAAAAAGCTGGAAGTGGAACTATAGCTTAGGTGTAGAGTGCTCCTGGAGTAAAAAAGCACAGGGACAGTAACCAGGCCCTGAGTTCAAGCCCCAGGATCGACAGAAAAATCAAACAAATAAAAAATCTGCAGAATTATTTTGTTATTGTTGTTGGTTGTGGGGCTTGAACTTAGGGCCTGGGCACTGTCACTGAGCTTTTTTGCTCAAAGCTAGCACTCTACCACTTTGACCCACAGCACCACTCCAGTTTTCTGGTGGCTCATTGGAGATAATAGTCTCATGGACTTTCCTGCCTGGGCTGGCTTTGAACTGCAATCCTTAGATCTCAGCCTCCTGAGTAGCTAGGATTACAGGCACAAGCCACCAGTGTCCAGAGCAGAATTTTTATACAATGGACATTATACTCAATAAAATGAATGAATCTGCGCAACATTTGTCAACATGAGTTAAACTTAGAAACGTAAGTTTGAGGAAAAAAATATGTACACATTAAAAAACATGTTCTTCTGACAGCTTTGCAAAACACAAAATATTACTTATGAATACTTATGCCAAAATAGTATAAATTATGCATAGTGATAACTACTTAAAGCTAAGGAAAAGGAAAGAAAGTAGGAAAGGCTTAAAGGTTGTCTATAATACAAGACATTTTAGTTTTTAAGAAAATAAGGAACTAAGGAAAGGACTGGGAATGTAGTTTAGTGGTAGAGTGCTTGCCTAGCATGCATGAAACCCAGAGTTCAACTCCTCAATACCATAAAAAAGGAAGTGGCGCTGTGGCTCAAATGCTAGCTTTGAACAAAAGAAGCTCAGGGACAGTGCCCAGGCCCTGAGTTCAAGCCCCAGAACTGGCGAAAGGAAGGAAGGAAGGAAGGAAGGGAGGGACGGAGGGTGGGAGGAAGGGAGGGAGAGAGAGGGAGAGAGAGAGAGAGAGAGAAACAAAGAGAGAGAGAGAGAGAGAAAGAAAGAAAGAAAGGAAAGAAAGAAAGGAAAGAAAGAGAAAAAGGGTTCAAAAGTTCACCTCAAAGCAAGATAATCCTGCTCCAATCAGAAAACACCAGGTATGGAAAAAAAAAAATCGGAAGGAAGTAGAGGAATGGACACAGATTTTATCTTCCAGCTTCCTAGATTCACTTTAGTTCTCATGGAAGAGGCAGAATAAAAAAATAAAGTACTGCTTCTCTCAAAACAACAGCAATAAAAAACTCTATGGGTTAAATATGGCTCAGTGCTTCATACTGCTAGGCCCTGGATTTATAATCCTTAGTACATTTTTTTTAAAGCCTCTGAACTATACTAAGATATAGCAGTACTATTTCAATAACAAAATACACATCAATAACCAAAGATGGGTTGCTAGCACTCTCTTTCTTGATACCTCAAGAACTCTAGGTCATAAGACTAAAAGATCTAGAATGATAGGTGAGATGCAATAATGCCCAAGAAAGTAACAACACCCAGAAAAACAGCAGAGGTGTCTAGGAGGGGCTGCAGCTCCCAGTGAATGAACCAAGGCCCTGTGGCCTTAGCAAACTTGGCAGTTGTACCAATCAGAAGAGGTAAAAATAAGAGCTAAAAATTTCATAGTGTTTGAAATATGCCAAGGACTCTTCTAAGCACTTATCTACATCCACTCTGTTTTCAATGCTATGTGAGAGGCATTATTATTTTCTCATTTTATGAACGGGGCATTGAGACACTGTGACAGATGGCATCAAGACAGCCACCATGAATTCCTTTTCTGGCTCTAGCTATTGTACTTTTAAACATTACTTTATACTGCCTTGTCTGATAAAAACTGAAACATCTAGTGAATGAGCCAGAACAGGAAAACAAAAATCAGACTCTAGTGGTAGGTGAACTTGTATGTAAAGGCATGAAAAAGAACGTCCCAGATTTCTGACAACACTGAGGCTGGACATTAGGAGGAGACTGGTATTTCACATTAGTAGGTAAAGCCGACAAATGGTTAAAACACAGATTACAAGCTCAAGATCAGGCTGAAATTTACCTGTCGCTGGATAAACATGGTCATCACCTTCTTTGCTTGTTCAAATGGGGTCTCTTTACCAGGAAAGGAGTTATTCATAGTAAAGCCCACGTCCATACACAGCACAACAGCTGCCTAGAAACCAAGTCCAAAACAGAATATGAGAAAATAAGTCATTAAAAAAGACTCTGAGAGGCTGGAAATGTGGCTTAGTGGTAGAGTGTTTGCTTAGCATGCATGAAGTCCTGGGTTCGATTCCTTAGTACCACATAAACAGAAAAAAGTGGTGCTGTGGCTCAGTAGTAGAATGCTAGCCTTAGAAGCTCGGGGACAGTGTGCAGGCCCTGAACTCAAGCCACAGGACTGGGAGAAAAAAAAAGATTCTGAGCCTGGCACTGGTAGCTCATAACTGAGGAGGCTGAGATCTGAGGATCTCATTTCCAAACCAGTGCAGGCCAGAAAGTCTCTGAGCCTCTTATCTCTAATTAATCACCAGAAAACCAGAAATACAGCTGTGGCTCTCAAAGTGGTAGAGTACTAGCCTTGATTAGAAAAGCTCTGGATCAGTGCCTAGGCCCTTAGTTCAAGCCCATGACCAAAAAAAAAAAAAAATCAGATGACCAAAAAAAAAAAAATCAGAATTATGACCCTTGCTTATGATACTCAAAGAACTTAGTTAGGCAAGGCAATAATAAAGGAGATGATCTGTTCTATATAGAGAATGCATGTACAACATTTAAAGTTTCACTTTAGATAATGCTTAAATTATCCTGATATATCCTAAAAGACAGAAAGCATTGCTTAGGAGAGGAGCATGTTCCAGGTAGCTACGGTATATTTGGCCTGAGCCCCAGAATAAATTTATGGTAAACAAGTAGGAAGCCAACATGCAGAATATACTTGTCTAGCCCACTTGAACCTAACAAACATCAAACTGCAGTTAATCTGCAGACCTATGTGCATAAGAATAGATACTTTTGATGTAAGTTACTGAAAGGGTGGTTTGCTATTAAGTATTTGGGGGGCAATAGGTGACTATGTATGCTAAAATGATACAGCCTGACAATTTAAGTAAGGTTGTAAACTGAGGCTCTGGAATAACCAAGATACCAAACCTATTCTGGAAGACACAAGACACAACAAATACTGTCAGGACAATGCTATATGCAGACGTTTACGGTGGCTACTAAGAGGAACGAGATAAGCATCTACCCAACAGTGGGAGATGGAACAGAGAAGCATATGAGACAGAAAAGCCTTCTTGAATTTGATCTGTGGGTGAATTTAGAAAGTAAGGAGTCAAGCTGGGCACTGGTGGCTCTTGCCTAGAATCCTAGCTACTCAAGAGGGTAAGATCTGAGGATCAGGACTCAAAGCCAACCCAGGCAGGAAAGTCTATGAGACTCTTACCTTCAATTAAACATCAAAATGCCAAAAATGGAGCTATGGCTCAAATGGTGAAACATCAGCCTTGAGTGAAAAAGCCAAGCAAGAGAGTGAGGCCCTACGTTCAAGCCCCAGTACTAACATACACACATACAGGAGTTAGGAGTTATATGTGTAAGGAGTAAGTTATAGGAATAAGAAAGTTACAGAGGGCACTGCATAAGCAAAGACACCAAGTCAGTAGATGGGCCTCACGAAATAAAGCAGACAAACTAAAAGAGATATATGTAAAGTTCTTACCCTATTCTTGACAACCAAAATTACTTGAATATTAGTTGCAGAAGAATGAGGTAGAAGCAACTCACAATTTCAGAGTATACCTGATTCAACATTATAGTTTTTGCACTCTATCACATTAAATATTTTAGGCTGACTCAATAGTAGAATAGATTCCAAGAGTCGGGGGAGGAAAGAGAAGGTAATGAGGAGAGATAGGAAGGGATAGAGGGAGAAATGACAGAGGGAAAGAAGGAAGAGACCTAAGTTATAGACCCAGCTCTACTTTTAATTAGCTGTAAGTCCTTAGGTATGTCAGTTAACCTTAGTGTTATATCACTGAGGTACAAAACTATTGAAGTAGCTGTTTCCAGAAATAACATTCCTTGACCCTGACTGCCCTTCTCTTCTATGTTTTGTACTGATCAGACTTAAGCAATTCTAAGTATCCTATGAGGAAGATTACCATTGGACATTTGATGAAGGATCTAAAAAATGTGACATAAAGAAAAAAAACTGGATATTTGTGCCAAATGGAGAACAATGAAGGGAACAGGTAGACGCTACTAAATGTTTGACAGCTGTCTTACGAAAGGGTTGGTCTTCAGGAGAGGAAATAGGTTCAACAAATGGAAATTATGGGGAGACTGGTTTGACTCAATGTAAGGGGGAAAAATATCATTTAGAAATGATCAGTGAAGGGGCTGGGAACGTGGCTCAGTGGTAGAGTGCTTGCCTTGCATGCATGAGGCCCTGGGTTCGATTCCTCAGCACCACATAAGCAAAAAGAAAAAAGCTGGAAGTGGCACTGTGGCACAAGAGCTCTAGCCTTGAGCTGAAGAGCTGAGGGACACCGCCCAGGCCCAGAGTTCAGGCCCCATGACCGGACCTCCCCCCCCCCCAAAAAAAAAAGAAATGATCAGTGAAGGAATCACTGTTTCCTGAAGTAATAATCTCCTGTCTTTTAAAGTGTGAAAAATCTGGATAAGCTCCTATTTCAGGGAATTATAATTTCCAAGTTTAGTTATAGCTTTGGCAACACATGCAAAAGACTATTTTCAATTCGGAAAATAATGTCTAATACCAAAGAGATTTCTGGAGTAAAGATAGGAAAATTGGTTGAATTCCTTTCTGGAAGCAGTGCCAAAAAAAAAAAAAGTCAGGAGAGAAAAAACACCAGCTAAGTAACTTCACATCTATACTGAAACAATATATCCTGTTAAGATTTTACTTCATCTAGATAGGTCCTTTGCTGGAACTACAAATTTTTCAGCAACTAAAAAGGGGACAGCAATGCAGACCAGCATCATTGTAAGTTCAGAATTGCTTAATCAGCATTTCCCAACAGGGAGCTGAAGAGACTGGATGTCAGTCGCTTAACTCTTACACTGTCCCTGAATCAGTGAATGGCTGGATCAATGAAAGCATTTCTGGAATTATCACTCTTTCCAGTCATCCCAAAAATCAATTTAATTCATTATCATTTCCGTTATTAATATAGAATACCAAAGGTCATAGATTCTTTTTTTTTTTTTTTTTTTTTTGGGTCCGGTCATGGGGCCTGAACTCTGGGCCTGGGCTCTGTCCCTCAGCTCTTCAGCTCAAGGCTAGCGCTCTACCACTTGAGCCACAGCGCCACTTCCGGCTTTTTTCTTTTTGCTTATGTGGTGCTGAGGAATCGAACCCAGGGCCTCAGGCATGCAAGGCAAGCGCTCTACCACTGAGCCATCTTCCCAGCCCCCAGGTCATAGATTCTTAACAACAGAGATTCTCCAGGACTCTAAAAAGAGGCCTGGGTTCAAAAATCTGGATTTTTACCACTATGGACTGGGCGACCATGGGCTAAGCACTTCATTTCTTCATGCCTCAGTTGTCCCACTTGCAAACTGCATGTAAGTTTTCACAGCACGGGGTTGTGAAGATTAAAGGAAACAGGAAGATCTATTATGCCTTACACCGAGTAAGATTTCAGTGAATACGAGATCACTTTACATTTCAAGTTAGTTCACTCTCGGTTTTGCAACAAGCCACAAAGGTGATTATCTTGGCTAAATGCCATTCTAACATAAATTTTAGGAACCCAGGTTCATAAGCAACATGGGGAGTAGGGTTAGCAAACGGAGAGGCAATAAGGGGCAGAAAGGAGGAGGGAAGGGAGCCTGAGGGGCCAGAGTGTGGGAGGGATGTGAAAGAAGGGGGTTAGAAAACGGAAATGCCTTTGCACAACTAACGATACGTTTTTAAGGCAGGAGGCGGTGCAAGTCCACGGTGTGATTCTAGAATTACGCCTATAATCCTTGGCTGTTCAGAAGGCTGAGAACTAAGGATCCAAGCCAGGCAGGAAAGTCCCAGCGACTCTGATCTCCAATGAACCACCCAAAAAAAAAGAGCTGGAAGTGGAGCTGTGGCTCAAGTGGTAGAGAGCTAACCTGGAGCACAAAAGCTCAGGGACAGAGTGCAGGTCCAGAGTTCAAGCCCCAGAGCAGGCACAAAGAAAAAAAATGTAATTAAAGGAGGAAAAAAAGTTAAACAAGAGGGTGGGAGGAGGCCTTCCAAATCGCTCGCCCAGGGCATCCCCCGGCCTAGGCCCTCCTACTCCAGCCCAGCAGCATGACCGTGCCCCTCGCCCGGCTGCTGGTCACCGCTGCGATCTCACAAGTCCTGAGGCCGAGCTATGATCACCTCCCAATCCCAGGCTCTAACAGGCAAAGCCCAAACCCACCGCCCGGCTACCTTACTCCCCATCCGCTCCATGTTGCCGGTCCTCTCAGGCGCCTGGAGGCCTCTTCCGTGCGGGAACGTGTAGCGCCGCAACTCGGTTCCGGCGGACTCTCAAGCCCGGCGCACAGCCGGGAAAAGCGTCCGGGGAGCCGGGCCGGGGGGGGGGGGGGGGGGGGGGAGGGGGGGTGAGGGGAAGCGCGCGGCAGCGCTGAGCATGCGCACATTCCTTCTTGCAGTTTTTGGTGGGTTTGTGTGTTTTATTTTCCCCCCGCCTTCCGGGTCCCTTGATGTGGAGCTGCAGAAACGCTAGTTATGGATTCATACTAATGTTCTGGATTCATTCTAATCTGATTGCCCGAAACCCTTCCCTTTGTGCTCATTAGCAGTTACGCCTCCAGAGCTTTGTGTCCGTGCTTTGGAGTTATATTTCCTTGAGTGTGAATTCAGAAATCACTTAAACCCTTGTTTCTTCTTTAAATAGGTGCTACCGAAGGTCTTACAGATGCAATCATCGTAGGACCAAAAGAGTAGGAGTTTTTTGACAAATAAAAGAAGGAAGGGCATTTGACATCAAAGAGGAGATGGGGGTCTATAAACGCCTTGGAAGCAATGTAAGACTCTCCTGATGATGAAGAGTTTAGGGCAGCCATCATAGCCATCAATCATAGTGCTGTGGCATGTCCAGATCCCCTTTCAAGAAACTGTCCAAACACATGGCCTTGCCCCTGAGGTCCCAGCACAGAAACTGGCTATTTTCTATGTCAAATAGTCCACACTACAGGTGGTTTATATAAAGGTCTGCAGAAATCTGCAAGGAGTGTCTGCAAACCTCCCTCCAAATTGGGTAAAGAAAGTCCAATCAGATTCTCTCCCTTTTGAAAACTCAGCCTGGGAAATGAAGGAACTAAGGCTGAAATGAGAATCCATGCAGAAAAAAAGAAGCCTTGTGAAGGTGAACACATTCCTGGTGCTCATAGAACCCAGGAGATTCTTCCTACTCTCTATTCAAATTCAAAGTTCTTTCAAAGATGAAGTATTTTTAATAATACTTGTAGTATGGGTGGCAATTAGAATGACTAGAGATGTGGTTCAGTGAGGGAAATGCACATGCCTGACCATACTGGAGAGCAGGAAATGTTTCTTTCGCCTCCATTCTTCCCCACTTTCTGCTGTTACACTTAAATAAACCCTTGACTTAAAAACAAAACAACAAAACAAAAAATAAAACAGCTGGGTGCCAGTGGCTCACACCTATAATCCTAGCTACTCAGGAGACTGAGATCTGAGGATTGCCGTTCAAAGGTAGCCTGAACAGGAAAGTCTGTGAGACTCTTATATCCAAAAAAACACTCAGAAAACCATAAGTGGTGCTGTGGCTCAAGTGGTAGAGTGCTCACCTTGAGCTGAAGAGCTGAGGGACAGCCCCCAGGCCCAGAGTTCAATCCTTATGACTGACAAAAAAAAAAAAGTCTTGGAAACATCAGTATCACCACACTGGATAAAGTTAGATAAACTTAGATGAAGTTTGTCCAGCTCAGCATATTGTGGCAGCTGAGTAATTAAAAAACAATCTTCCTCTGCAACATTTGCTATGCAAATCAAGAAACTATGAGCTCACGGAATTATTCAAATATATTTAACTGTCCAATGTCTTTTCTGAGGTTCTCCAGGTGCTAACTAACAGAAAAGGTAATAGTGTTTCAGTTCTGACTCAGTTTTCCTTCTTCTAGGCTGGGTGTTTACGTACCACTTTAGAACCCTTTGTGTGTGTGTGTGTGTGTGTGTGTGTGTGTGTGTGTGTGTGTGTGTGTGTGTGTGCGCGCGTGCGCGCACGCTATCAAGCCTATACATTTTTTGCAAACCATAGCATTCAAAGTTATTTTGGAGAGCCTCAAAGAAAAAATGAGCAAGCATGCATCAGATTTTATTTTTATTTTATCTTCATTACAACTGTTTATAACTTTGCAAATGCACCAGAGAGCACCAAGTTTATCTTCAAAAATTGTTTGACATTTCCTCTGGCCAAACTAATAACATAAACAACAAAGAAAGAAAATAAGAAAGTAAGGGAAGGGAGGACAGAAAGGAGGGAAGAAAGGAGGAAGAGGTAGGAAGGAAGGAAAGATGGAAGGAGGGAGGGAGGGAGGAAGGAAGGAATTGCTCTGAAGGTGAAGTTCAGCACCATACACTAAGCAGATAGTCCTGGCCTCTGGTGGGGAAGAAAGGCCAACCTCTGATTTGTTCACAGACTTTCTTTCAACTGCTTCTTTTTGAGATGTAAACAAAAATGAGCACCGTCTTCCCTTATAAAGACTTAAACTTCCCAAATTACCTGACCTCTTAAATTCAGTACTTTGAAATTAAGAAATTATAAGGGATGAAGTTTTTAACAATTAAATCTTTATAAGAAAAATCTGGTCTACCTCCCCTATTCCAGGAAGTCAAGTTTTTCAGCATAGAAAAGGCCATGATTATCATTAACCTAGAAAGTTGTGAGCAAAACTCTTGAGTGAAATTTTGCCAAACCAAGAAGGATAAAATCTGGCTTGTACTTAGGGCTACTAATTCCTGCTGGGTATATATTTGGCATATGCAATCTATAGATTAAATATCACCAACCCCTATGATTGTATAATTATCATCTTGTAGCCACTATGTTCCCAAGAAACCTGAAACCATGGGACACTACAGAAGTTTACTTGAAAAGTATATGAGAAGATATTATCTAGTATATGAGTAGCATATGCATACTATATACAGTTCATGTCTATGTATAAACTCACTTGTAAGATTCAGGCCAAAATAAATAAATAAATAAATGAGCAAACAAATAAATATTGTGTTAGCAAATTGGGATTCTGAATGTCCTTAAGTAAGTGTTGTAAGGCAGAGAGTCTTACTAGCCTACCAAAATTGCCATTCTTGCCTTTTCTTTCCAATTAGAATTATTCCCAGTATTTCACTGAGAATATAGTTACTCAAACAAAAGATTCCATTCCCCCAGCATTTTTTTGTAGTTGTGAGGTCATGTGACTAAGGTTTGACCTATGACACATAAGATATATTGAGGGGCAATCTTCCAGGAAGTCTCCTTAAACAGGAAGAGTTGTTCTCCTTTGTCCTTTCTGTTATTGTTGTTTTGCAAGAAAATATGGATGTGGTGGCTGAAGATATAGTCATTATTGGAACATTAAACATAAGAGCAATAAGAGCCATACCCCACCATGCAGAAACCTGGGGCCTGGGTGACTTCACAGATTTCCAGGATGGTCTGCCTCTAGCCTTCTCTCTGAGAAAGAAACTCTGTCTTGGGGCTCTCATTTTGTGCAGTTCAATCTAAATGTACATGATTCTTACATATCTTCGCTTTCTGCTACAATATACTATAGCCCAGTTCATTAAATGTGTCACTCCATCACTACCTTCTTCATGGACTTTGTCACCCCTGAGCTTCTTTATTCTCCCTGTCACATTTCATCACATATTCCCCTGGGTTACAGGCACCAGTAACAACATCAATCTCCTCATCCCAAATAAATGGTCATTGTAGGGAAGAGTCAAGAAAAGTGTGTCCATTGGATGGACTGATTTGGCACAATGTGGTTTTCTGTTCCCTCCCTTCCTGGAACCATCAAGATCAGTACCAGTATCAGCTAAGATCTTCCAGATCTATAGCAAGCAGAAGATGATTTAAAGAAAGAACCTGCCAGAATTGCAAGATGATGTCTACCTGGGCCAAAAAAGCAAGTCAGTCATTGGCAGTTTAGACAGTGGAGGTTTCTACTTCCTGGGTGGGGTCTTTGTTGGAGAGACTGGCTGAGATAGTATCTGATTCAAGCAGCTCCACAATGCTGTAAGGAGAACAATCCTCTAGACCGAGCTTGCTGCACAGCCAACCACAGAAGCCTTTTTCCATGTCTCTAGCAGTTTGCCACCATGCCCCCCAGGACCAGGAGAGCTGGACCACAGCGGCATAGATGCCCAGGGATGAGGCCATGGCCATGATGAGCACTGGGTAGAAAAGGATGAGGCAGGGGCAATAAGAGATCTTATGCCAGAAAGTTCTTTCCTCATTGTACACAAGGAAGATGTTGTACCAGGTGATGGTGCCGTAGTAGAAAGAGACAACAAAAGAGAGGATGAAGACCACAGGCAGGCAGACTATCGTCCAGAGGACCACGTGGGGCCCTTGGTCTGCTCCCACCTGGCATGACTTTCTTCCTTCGGGTGCTGTTTCCCTTAACAGCTCCTTGGGCTTGGTCAATTCCTGAATTTCCTTCTCTGTCAATGTGACATGGATGTCCACCATCTGACCCTTCTTTTTCCCTCGAGTGATGGTTCCCGTTAGTGTGACATAACGGCTGTCCAAAGGCATGTTCCATATACCTGCAAGGCACAAAGGAGGTAAAAGTTAAGATCTAAAGGGTGGAATTTGTGCCCTCCCCTGAGTTTAGGGTTGAGATGAGCATCATTTCTTTTATTATAGCATTTGGCAGAGGAGTCAGTGGCTTATGGGTGGACTGAAGCGGTCTCCCTTGGAAGGCAATCACTGTTCTGTGACATAATTCTCATAGTAAATTTTCACTCCATATGTCTAGGCCCTGATAAATTCTGATCCAGATTGGACTTATTTTTCCTATTTGTTTCCCTGTTTTTATGGAACTGAATCTTGGAACCATCTCTATGATATAAAGAGCATGAGAAAATTTCCCACAGATACCACTTCATAATGACCCTATTTTTAGTTAAGCAGAGCTATAAAGATATTGAGTATCAATCTGTGTGTAAAGACTGTGTGTGGACCAGGATGATGGGCAGCCTATTCTTTTTTTGTACACTTTTTATTGTAAAAATGTTGTACAGAGAGGTGACGGTTACATGAGCAAGGTAATGAGTACATTTTTGTATATTTTTATTGTAAAGATGCTGTACAGAGGAGTTACAGTTACATGAGCAAGGTAATGAGTACATTTCCTATTGAGCATTGTTGCCTCCTCCTTTGTTTTCCCCCTACCATCCCTTCCCTCCCACCTGGGCAGTCTATTCTTTCCTTCTCATGCCAAGCTCTGCACTTCCCCAGAGGGACCACTGTCATGTGCTTGTGGCTATCCCAGACCTCATACCCTACTTCTGTACAAACATTCACTACACACACACACACACACACACATACACACACACACACCTACCATACACATCTGTACCTACCCCACACAATCTATCTTACTTCCATAGTATTCCAACTTCCACACCATACACACTTACACATATTATATCCCCTACTCCACCACTTCACTAACACCACACACAGATATAACACACAAATATTCCATACATTCCACATATACCACATACCATATACTACACATATACATGCATGTATGTATATATATATATTTTTATTTTTGTCGGTCGTGGAACTTGAACTCTGGGCCTGGGCACTATCCCTCAGCTCTTCAGCTCAAGGCTAGAGCTCTCCCACTTGAGCCACAGCACTATTTCTGGTTTTCTGAGTGGTTTATTGGAAATAAGAGTCTCACAGAGTTTCCTGCCCAGGCTGGCTTTGAACCATGATCCTCACATCTCAGCACATATATTATATGCACATATATTATCTGTGCCCCATTGGGAAGACTACTGCCTCACAGCTGGAAAAAAGCCAATGGAGACCCCCTAAGAGGAAAGTCAGGACAATGGCATAGTCTCTGACTGCCAGAGAGGATTGATTGTACTGTTCTCTCCAGGCCTAATGGTGTCATGGTCTCCATCTGAGCAAATGACATACTTCTGTCCTTTCTTACTACCAGATATCCAGCAGTCATTTCTCCGTCCCTTTCCCTCTCCCTACCTCTAGTCCATCAGCAAGTTCCAAGTTACATTGGTACATTCTGCTCCAGCCTCTCTGCTAGCTCTCTCCTGCTATCACTCAACCCAAGCTTCTGCATTAGTGCTCTTGTGTCTACCTTTTACTGTCCTTCCTTGTTCCATACACTCCCTACCAGAAACAACATCTTTCAATCATTTGAGCAGATATTGATCTTACCTCAAGGCCTTTCCCCTATCTGTTCCCCTTCCTTAAAAAGCTGGCTCCCTGCCGGGTGTCAGTGGATCATGCCTGTAATTCTAATCTCAGGAGGCTGATATCTGAGGATCATGTTTCAAAGCCAGCCCAAGCAGGAAAGTCCATGAGACTTTTATCTCTAATTAACCACCAGAAAACTGGAAGTGGTGCTTGTGGCTCAAGTGGTGCTCTAATAGAGTGCTTGTCTTGAGCTGAAGAGCTCAGGGACAGAGCCCAGGCCCTGAGTTCAAGCCCCAGGACTGAAAAAAAAAAGAAAAGAAATAAAGATAAAAGCTGGCTCCTACAAAGGGTGAATAACCACAAGACACTATGTTGAATATGAACTATACAACTTGTGGATGGGGATGGGAGGGATCAAGAGAGCAAGGAAGGGGTGACACTGTCCAAAAAGAAATGGACTCTACCTCACTTATATAACTGTAATCCGTCTGTATTTCTTTATTTTTCTTTTTGGTCAGTTATGGGTATTGAACTCTGGTCCTGGGCTCTGTCTCTCAAATCTTCAACTCAACGCTAGCACTCTACCACTTGAGCCATAGCACCACTTTCCTGACTGGGCTGGCTTTGAACCATGATCCTCAGATTTCAGCCTCCTGAGTAGCTAGGATTATAGGTGTGAGCCACTGGTGCCCAGCTTTGTATTTAATCTTTATAATAACAATAAAAAAATAATTTAAAATAAGAAAAGCTGGTTCCTTGGTGCCACTCAAATCCACTCAATGTTACTTCTTCAGAGAAGCCTTCAATGACTACATCTTTGCTCCTCCAGATCTCTTTAGGGTTTTATTCTCTTTGAAACACATGTGACTACCTGAAATTATCTTTTATTTATTGACTTATTCCTATTTGTCCTCCCCTGCCTAGATGGTCAACTCCAAGACTGAAGGAATGTCATATATATCTTAGATACCTATCCATCCACAAAAATAAACCTACTCCAGGGGCTGGGAAGGTGGCTCAGTGGTAAGAGCGCTTGCCTTGCATGCATGAGGCCCTGGGTTCGATTCCTCAGCACCACATAAGCAGGAAAAAAAAGCCGGAAGTGGTGCTAGTGGTAGCATGCTAGCCTTGAACTGAAGAGCTGAGGGACAGCGCCCAGGCCCAGAGTTCAGGCCCCACGACCGACCCCCCCCCCCCAAAAAAAGAAAGAAAAATAAACCTCCTCCATCATAGCTATATAATAACTCTTTTTTGGGGGGGTGCAGTACTGGGGATTGAACTCAGGGCTTGGATGCTGTTCCTAAGTTTTTTTCATTCAAGACTGGCACTCTACCATTTGAGCCACAGCTCCACCTCCAACTGGATATAAAGTCTCATAGATTCTCTTGCCTGGTCTGGCTTTGATTCATGATCCTTAGATCTCAACCTCTTGAGTAGCAAGGATTATTATAGGTGTAAGCCACCTGGCATAATACGAACACATCACAGTCTTATGAGCAGCAACAAATATTCTTATATATGCAGAACAGGAGCATATGTTTCATGGGGGAGATTTTTAGAATTTTTGGCACTTGGGGTATACATATTTTGAATTTGGAGGGTTTTTTTTCTTGTCAATTGTGGGGCTTGGACTTGGGACCTGGGCACTGTCCCTGAGATTTTCTTTTCTTTTTTTTTGGGGGGGGGGGGTCCAGGCGTGGGGCCTGAACTCTGGGCTTGGGCACTGTCCCTCAGCTCTTCAGCTTAAGGCTAGCACCCTGCCACTTGAGCCACAGCGCCACTTCCGGTTTTTTCTTTTTACTTATGTGGTGCTGAGGAATCAAACCCAGGGCCTCATGCATGCAAGGCAAGCACTCTATCACTGAGCCACCTTCCCAGCCCCGTCCCTGAGATTTTCTGTTCAAGTCTAGCGCTCTACCACTTTGAGCCATAGTGCCACTTTTGGTTTTCTGGAGATAATCGGAGATAATCTCATGGACTTTTCTGCCCAGGACTGGTTTTGAACCACAATCCTCAGATTTTAGCCTCCTGAGTAGCTAGCTAGGATTACGGGTATGAGTCATCAGCTCCTAGCTTGAATTTTGAGTTTTTTTGTTTTAATTTTGATTTGTTTAATTTGTAAATTTTTTATTTTTAACGTAAAAGTGCTATACAGAGTAGTTACAGTTACATAAGTAAGGCAATGCGTGCATTTGTTTTTGAACAGTGTTACCCCCTCCCTCATTTTCTCCCACTTTCCCTCCCTCCCACTTTCCTCCCCGCAAGTTGTAAAGTTCATTTCCAACATAGTGTCTAGTGAGTGTTGCTGTTCCATTGTTTTACCCTTTTGTCTCATAGTTTATAATGAATACTGACAAATTCCCTACAATGTGGTTAAAGTGACTGCCACTTCTAGTTGAGGTATACGTGGGAGGATAGTCATTTCCTTACACTATTATTACCCAATTTTTGACAGTCCTTCATGTGAGTGAAAAAATACTACATCTCATTGTCATCTTGTCACCTTCCTAGTTATTTTGAAAGTCAACAATTATTATCTTGATCTTAATACATCCAGTTATTATAAACTCTGCTTGTGTTGACTTTTTTCTGGTACTAGGGCCTTAAATTTAGAAGCCCTATACTTATTAGGCTGGCTTGATCATGCCTGGCACTCTTCCACTTGAGTCATGCTTCCAGTCTTGCTTTTTTGTCGGTTGTGGGTCTGAACTCTGGGCCTGGGTGCTGTCCCTCAGCTCTTCAGCTCAAGGCTAGCACTCTACCACTTGAGCCAAGCACAATTCTGGCTTTTTCTGTTTATGTGCTGCTGAGGAATTGAACCCAGGGCCTCATGAATGCAAGGCAAGCACTCTACCACTGAGCCCCCTTTCCAACACCCCAGCCTTCCTTTTTGCTCATTAATTGGAGATGGAATCTCACAAACTCTTCTATCCAGGCTGACTTCAAACCTCAATCATCCATGTCTCAGCCTCCTGAGTAGCTAGGATTACAGGCACAAGTCCTTAGCACCTGGTTTTTGTTACTTATTTCTATATATGAATCAGCTTCTTCCTTTTACTATGGATAGTAGTGATTTCCTTCTCCCTAGAATCGAACATAGTAGGGACTAAATGAATGCAGTATTTATTGAAAGAATTCCAAAAGCATAACAGACTGAAACACTGCAAGAAATGTATTACCAAAAAGAAAGAGATAAATGAACTGATAGCCCTTTGTTCTTCTGGAGAAAGCATCCTCTCTGAGTTTCCTTCTCACGGCTTTGAACAAGTGGCCCCCTGAGAGACTCACCTTCATCCATAGGACAGTCTAGGAAATCATCTCCCTCCTCTTCTTTAGGCCGATCTCCACCTTCTGCTTCCTCTGGCTCCTCATCTGTTTTCTCATTATCTGACCGGTAGATAATGATAGATTCTGGTCGAGACCCTTTCCTTTTCTTTTTCCTGCGACCTATGGTGGACTCCCCATCGAAGGCCAGGGCAGCAGCTACAGCCCTCCTCAGAGAGCCCTGGTGAGAGCTTGGGAGTTGGCCTTCCTCTGGCGCCGACTCCTCCATCCCAGCCCTAATATCTAGTTGTCCTTTATAAAGAATCTGACTTGCTTGAGCAAAATCACAATCCCAACATCACAAACCTTCCTGAAAGTGGTTCTGTAAAAATATCTTGAGGAAATGTGCCGCCTGAAAGATAGGAGAGCAAAGGCATTAGTGGGGAGAAAACAGTGAGATGGAGGACTTGGAAAATCATCCTCAGCTTGGCAGAAGCCTGCACGCTCCTTGACTTCCCACAGTACTTTATTTGAAGAGGCTAGAGGAAGTCCTCTTACATTATGGGCTGAGCACCGGTGGCTCATGCCCAAGAGACTCTTATCTCCACTATAAAGCCAGAAGTGGAGCTGTGCTTCAAAAAAGCTCTGAGATGAGGAGGAAGAAAAGGAGGAGGAGGAGGAGGAGGAGGAGGACATTGCAAATATTTTTTCCGTGCCCCCATACTAGGATCAAATAGTGGGTACTGTCCTTTAGCTTTTTTGCTCAAGGCTGGCACTCTACCACTTGAGCTACAGCTCCACTTCTGGCTTTTTGGTGGTTTAATTATAGATAAAAGTCTCAAAGACTTTCCTGTCAGGCTGCCTTCAAACCTGATCTTCAGATCTGAGTCTTCTGAGGTGAATAAAAATTTGTGTTTCAATATTATAGTTTGTCATTTATGTAAGTATATGATATTACCACCAAAAAAAACTCATCAGGCCTTTGAAAGTACAAAGTATAGGGAAATTAGTTGAGAAAGGTTTATAAGGAGGTGGGGTTTAAAAAACAACCTTCCCAGGTACTCCTAGTTAGTAATCTTAGCTCTTCAGGAGGCTAAGAACTGAAGATTGACATTCAAAGCTATCCAGGGCATAAAACCCATGAGACTATTTCTCCAATTAACCAGTCAAAATCTGAAAGTGGATGCATGACTCAAGTCATCCAGCCAACTAGGATTACAGGCATGAGCTACCGGTACCCAGCTTCTCATGTAATCTTTAAATCAATTCTTTAATATCACTAAGTATGAACCCATTCATAAACCATGACTAAGCCAGGTGCTGGTGGCTCAACTTGTAATTCTAGCTACTCAGGTGGCTGAAATCTGAGGGTCCCAGTCTGAAGCAATCCCAGGGAAGGAAAGTCCATGAGACTCTTTATTTACAACAAAAGTACTCAGAAAAAGCCAGAAGTGGTGCTGTGATTCAAGTGGTAGAGCATGAACCTTGAACACAAAGATATTCAGGGATAGCTCCCTGACCCAGAGTTCAAATCCCAGGATAAGTTTAAAAAAAAAACTGACTAAACTAATAATTTAATATTTCTGTCTATTTATTTGAATGACTTTCTAAGTAAAATATATTTCTAGAGGCTACTGGCTCATGTTTATAATCCTAGCAAATAAGGAGGCTAAGATATAGATAGTTGTGGTTGAAGCCAGAAAAGTCCACAAAATTCCACCTTCAAAATAATCAGTAAAAATGAGGCTGGGAGACATGGCTCAAATGGTAGAGCCCCAGCCAAGCAAGCACACAAAACACACACACACACACACACACACACACACACACACACACACACACACACACACACACACACACACACACACCATCTAGACTGCAAATGGAGACTATCCCTTTTCCTTATACCAGTCCTCTCCAGTGGAACTTTCTGCTACTGTTCCTGAAATGAGGCTGGTGAAACTGAGGAAAGGTGTCTTTAAATTTATTGAATTTTAGCCGGGCGCTGGTGGCTCATGCCTGTAATCCTAGCTACTCAGGAGGCTGAGATCTGAGGATCGCGGTTCAAAGCCAGCCCGGGCAGGAGGGACCGTGAGACTCCTACCTCCAATAAACCACCAGAAAACCGGAAGTGGCGCTGTAGCTCAAGTGGTAGAGCGCTCGCCTTGAGCTGAAGAGCTGAGGGACAGCGCCCAGACCCAGAGTTCAAGCCCCACGACCGACCCAAAAAAAAAAAAATTTATTGAATTTTGACCTGTTTATATTTAAATAGACACATGCCGCCACTGACTATTATCCTCTCTCTCTGTCTCTGTCTGTCTGTCAGTCTGTCTCTCCCTCTCTCTTTTTCGATGCCAGTCCAGGGGCTTGAACTCATGAGGGCCTGGGGGCTATCCCTGAGCTTCTTTTGCACAAGGTTCTCTACCATTTGAGCCACAGATCTACTTCTGGCTTTTTTGGAAGTTTAGTGGAGATAAGAATATTAAAGGCCAGGCGCCGGTGGCTCACACCTGTAATCCTAGCTACTCAGCCCACGTAGGAAAGTCTGTGACACTCTTACCTCCAATTAACTACCAGAAAACCAAAAGTGGCACTGTGGCTCAAGTGGTGGAGCACTCACCTTGAGCTGAAGAGTTGAGGGACAGTGCCCAGACCCAGAGTTCAAGCCCTACAACCGACCAAAAAAAAAAAAAATCAGACTTTGAATTGCCTCCCTGAGTAGCAAGGATTACTGTTGCCCAACTTGTAACTTATTTCTTAAAGAATCCAACAGGCTTCCTTGTTCCATTTTCATAGCTACAAACAATCAGTTTCAGCAGTATTCAACCTCACATTGGAATTTTCCCTCGTTGCTTGTTTATTTGAGCAGTTTTACAAGTTGTGTACAATACTTCTATCAAAAGTCTTTTTGTTTCTGTTGGACTCTTTTCTGTGAAGTCAGTAAGCATTAAAGATAATTTTGGTTGCACCTGTTAACTCATTGGCACTGACGAAATTATTCTATTCTATTTTTCTTATTTGATCTTTTGGCCAGAATAAATACCTCCATGACCCTCTAACACACTGTTTTAAACTTGCTAGAGGACACAATAGCCTTTGGTTAGGCAACATTATTGGCAAGTATCTTGTGGAAAAAATAGATTACCAACAGATGTGAGCTATCATAAGCTTCTACTGACAGTAAAAGTTTCCAAACTACCAGAACAGTTCTAGTTTTAGATTAGCTGTGTTTATTATTGAGAATTGCTCAGTTCTACACATACTCCTGACCATCTCAGCCCACCCCTCTACTGCTCCTCAATATCTCCAGGTTTCTAGCTTTCTTCCACCTCTATTTTCAGTCCTTCTCTTCCTTCCATTTCTTTCTGAGTATTTGTTTTCAATGCTGCACACATAGCTTTGGTGTACTATTATTCTCAAGAATAAAGTTTTCTTTCTTCATACTTTAATGGTCTTCTTACATTTAATGGTCTCAATATCTAGTGAGATTGGACCCATGGACATAGTTAGGGTGAACAGAAAGAATCAAAAACATAAGCTTTAAGTGCCATGCAAATCCCATGTCTGAAAATTATTTATCTTTGCTATTACCATGTGAAGACCTCTAAACAATATTTCTTTAAATGCCAAACCCTATTTTTTCAAAACCCTATGTTTTCAAAATTGAAGTGCACGTTTATGTCCATGGAATGACTATTTTGACCTTCTGAGCAAACAGCTGTCCTTTGACTTCTCACCCATTTCTTCTAACTTCTAATTATTGATTTTCTTATCTGATTCCCTGGAAGATAGGTTGTTGAGTCCTTTTTTTTGGTTAGTGGTGACGGTTTTTTTGGTTAGTAGTGGTGGTTCTCAGGCTTGAACAGGATTTGTATAATATACTACATGAGTACTTTCTCACTTGAGCCTTGCCCCCAGCCAGTGTCTTTTTTTTTTGGTCAGTTGTGGGGCTTGAACTCTGGGCCTGGGTGCTGTCCCTCAACTCTTCAGCTCAAGGTGAATGCTCTACCACTTAAGCCACAGCACCACTTCTGGTTTTTTGCTGGTTAATAGAAGATAAGAGTGTCACAGACTTTCCTACTTGGGCTGAGTAGCTAGGATTACTGGCATGAGACACCGGCGCCCTGCTATGGCCAGTGTCATAATGGCCCACCTAACCAGAATGAACACCATTATCTTGAGGATCTCATTCCATCTTCCAAAGAAGGCTCTGTGTTCATACACTTTTCTGTGTTGTGTGTGTGTGTGCATGTGCGTGTGCGCACACACATACGTGCTAAACATTTTGTGCTAATATTGCTTTTAGGAAAGGATGAATATTAAGAAATCTCAACTGGAAGCCAGGTGCTGGTAATCCCAGCTACTCAGGAGGCTGAGATCTGAGGATCCCAATTCAAAGCCAGCCCAGACAGGAAAGTCTATGAGACTCTTATTTCCAATTAACCACCAGAAAACCAGAAGTGGCACTGTGGCTCAAGAGGTAGAGCACTAGCCTTGAGCTGAAGAGCTTAGAGACAGCACCCAGGCCCAGAGTTCAAGCCCCACAACCAACCAAAAAAAAATCTCAACTGGAGTTTGAGCACAAAGGAAATCAAGAATAACTTAGCAACTCCACGTCTCATTTCTTCCAGGAGGTTATTGGCCAATGGAAATAAGTTGGCTGAGGAATCTGTGCTCACAAAGATAATAATCAAGAAGAGTTAATACAGGACTGGCCAAGGCAAACATCTTCAAAGACTAAGGAAAGCAACATGAGACTGCTGAATAAGTCTAGCATGATAAGCTCAGCCAGGCACTTTACCCTAACAGGCATTTCTGTAAGTGCTTAACAATGATGTTGCTTAATCCTCAGAATAAACCAATGAAATAGGTACTATTATTGTATCCAGTTAGAGGAGCAATTATGCCAAAAGTCAGTGGTAGGAAGGCTGACATTCCTATCTACGTTGATTTCAAAGCCCAAGTACTTTTCACTGTGCCTTAGTGCCTACCAACATTTACTCACAGTTTTCTACTTAAACTTCTTGAACTTAACTTTGATGAACACATTTTCTATTTTCTTTTGTGTGTGTGTGTTGGGGTGGGGAGGATTGGTGGTATAAGATTTGAACTCATTGCTTCACCCTTCCTTGAAAGGCAGTCTATTATTTGAGCAATACCCCCAGGCCTCTTCCACTTTAAATATTTTTCAGAAATCTGGAACTGAGATCCTCCCAAGTAATAAGATTATAGGCATGAGCCACTACATCTGGCAGCTAGACAATTTTCTTCTGTTCCTGGAACTTGAACTCAAGGTCTGAAGCTATTTTCCTCAAGGCTAGCACTCTACCATGTAAGCCAGTTTCGCTTCCAGCTTTTTAGTGGTTATTTGGAGATAAAAGTCTCACAGACTTTCCTGCATGAGCTGGTAGC